ATATTTGGCGATGTTAAAAATAAATCTATCAATCTGACTTTAAATGGTCTGTGTTTGGCACTCTTCAACGACACAATCACAACTCATCAGACATATATGGCACTACAGCAGCAACAAATCGGGCTCTGCCTATGATCTGCAGCTCCTGAGTGCTGCACTGTACTCAGATATCTGTCCGAGCTGAAATTTGGCTCTTGTTCCAGCATGTACGGTCAGACTGCAGGGTGAGCTGCGGAGAGAAGGCCAATCTGCCAGCCATAATGTAGCCTTTTAAGCATCAAACCGCAAAATGCAAAATTAAGTTTCATGCTTGTCTTTTCAGCTAATCAGTGTTTAGCCTTTATTCTCCGCACATGAACCATGAGCAGGGTCAGTTCTTATCTTATCTGTTTGATGCTCAGTAGCCCTTTACTGCAGCTCAGGGGCTTGTGCCAGAGCCAACACACACACACAAGGAGAGACATACAGTGCTCAGCATATATAAGTACACCCGTCACAAATCTCTCTTTTAAATTCATATTTTCAATAGGAAGCTATACAATATTACATGTGCACATATGCATTAAATAAGTCAGTACTGAAGCCAAATATGGAGCTCTTTGGGTAAAAATATTTTAAAAACCTTTATTCACATGGCTAATCCTTAAAAACCTGTTTTGTTTTTTGTTTAGTTTTTAAGCTTTAGCCATGTGAATAAAGACTTTTTGATATTTTCCACATTTTTTGAGTGCCTTGTACTGATTTTTGCTGTTAAATTGGATAACAATTCACAGATAAATACATTTCTTTTAAATGGATTCATTTATGCAGGGCACTACAGCTCTGTAATAAAAACAATAAAGAGATTACAGCAGCACAATTTAAAAAAATCTTACATTGCATTAGTTTGTTTTGCCACGATATGAGTATAATTTCACCAGATGATTTGAATAGCTCTATTTGGACAGATTTCTTGAGTACGACTTGGGTAATCTGCATTAACTGGAAGAAATTAACATCACATATAAATACTACGGAGCAAAAATAAAAGTGAAATAAACAATGTTTTATGCTTATTTAACAGTATTCAAATACAAAAATTAACAATCGAACAAAATAACACAATCATCATTGTTTAAATATTTTATACAATCATATTAAAATGACATATTTATATTTTAATCTTTAATAAATAATCTAATAAAGCAATGTGACTATTGCAGATACACATATTGTGATATCGATGCTTAAACGATATATTGAGCAGCCCTGGAAGAGACTGTATCAAAGTTATTTTTGCTCTTAAATTAATATGTACATGCTTGTAAAGTGCTAATGTGTATTATTGTATAAACTACTGTTAATGTGTATTCATAATTTCAAATGAAGACTATAAAGTGTCATTTTAGATTTTATAATTAAATTTCTTTACCTCAATACTGTAATTTTCCTCCAAAAAAACATAAAGCACTGATTATTTCTTTATTATCTGTGCTTATATTTTAATTTAATTTAATTTTTTATACAGCGAAGCAGTGGCGCAGTATGTAGTGCTGTTGCCTCACAGCAAGAAGGTCGCTGGGTCGCTGGTTCGAGCCTCGGCTCAGTTGGCTTTTCTGTGTGGAGTTTGCATGTTCTCCCTGCGTTAGTGTGGGTTTCCTCCAGGTGCTCCAGTTTCACCCACAGTCCAAAGACATGCGGTACAGGGGAATTGGGTAGGCTAAATTGTCTGTAGTGTATGAGTGTGTGTGTGAATGTGTGTGTGGATGTTTTCCAGAGATGGGTTGCGGCTGGAAGGGCATCCGCTGCGTAAAAACTTGCTGGATAAGTTAACGTTCATTCCGCTGTGGCAACACCGGATTAATAATAAAGGGACTAAGCCCACAAGAAAATGAAATGAATTATGTAAGCTACTGTTAATGTGTATTTATAATTTCCACATTTTCAATTAGATATTACTAAATCGATTATTACAGCATTTATTTGTAAAAAAATATATATAATAAATAAAATAAAATGACAATAGGTCAACAAAAAATACTGTTTTGGTTAAAATAAATAGGGAAAAAAACATAAATCCACATTTACACTTAATGTGTGTGTGATTGTGTGTGTGTAGACACATACATCCACACACAACAACATAAAAAGTGTGGTTTTACTGACTCTCACACCTCGCTTTGTTACTTTTATCCACAAATACACAAGCACTCACTCTCAGGAAATGAAGAGTTCCTGATGGATGTGGGTGGCAGTGAATTCACCACAACACTGACAGGACGCGCGCACACACACACACACACACACACACACACACTGTAACATACAATTAATTACGCCTTGACTTTGAGAGGATGTGGAGGGATTTGGAAAACCAGGGTGTGGACAGCAATTCTACTGTAATTCTATAATATTTGCTGTCATTTTTTCTATTGCTACTATCTGTTAACTACTACTTACCAGCCACAGGACCCAGAAGAACCACCATGGCAATCAGTCCAACGTCAAGAATTGTTATTCGGCCTTCAACTGCCATGTTTTTTCTCTCCTTTTTCTTCAAATACAGTATATTCGGCTTTATCCTCAATTAATTATACAGCTGTCCAGGTTTCAGAGTCCAACCAGGCAAGAAGATGTGTGCTTTGGAGACTCCAGCATCATATATATTTTTCAAAAGCTGATGTTCATCCTTTCAGAATGGCTATAAAATAGTATGAAAACTATCTTCTTGCGGTAAGCTTCATTGTTTTGTTTAGTTTTTTCCCCCATAAAATGTAAGCTGATGAGTGTGAAATCTGACTACTGGCAGTCTGTGTCTGTAGTAACGAAGCTAATTAACAAATCACGTCAAACTTTGTTTTCCCCTTTGTTCCAGAGCACGAGTCCCATACATTTGCCTAATCGGAGTTTAGCGCAGTTATATGGGACATCCCGACTCCGCGAGCCTCCTGGATGGTAACACACAGTTTCTGAAGAGGGAAACATCCGCTTCGAGATCGCCGACTGTTAAAAATATGTCCATTTGTCGTCATATTCCTCGCCTTACGTTATCTTTTGATCTTCGTTTCAGGGTTTTTCTCCGTTTCCATGATCCACCGAGCTGGGAAATTGTTCGTTTAGCGGTTTTCCTTTCGTATTCCGATCATGGAGAAGGGCGACGTGAGACGGTCAGGAAGGCACAGCAGACCAGACAGCGACTGGAAACGCCTCGTCTTCTTCAGATTGTCTCCGGGATCCGATTGTTCGATGTGGGGGCCGATTTATAAAAGAAAAGAGGCGAAGCGTCCTCATGCGGCAGACTGATGGAATGACAACATAAGGAGACGCTGAAGAAAAACACCGAGGATGATTTAAAAACACTGCTATCAGAGCAGACGTGAAACACTTCCATTTAGAAAAAAATATCTGATAACTGATTTACAATTTATTCTATATAAAATATATTATATTATTATAATCTATATAAAATATATTATCTATTTTCCCACTGTATAATCTAGTTATCTGTCATTATTCAATTAATTACATTTTATATACAAACATAAATACATGTTTGTTTTATATATATTATTTTGTTATATTTAGAATTTGATTACATTTCAACATTTTAAACTTTGTATTTTATTTAATATTTCTTATATTCAATTTTATATGTATTATTTGTGTGTTTAGAAAACTGAGTATAATACTTTAATTTACATAGTTCATTTTACACAATTTTACTAACAATGTTCATACATATACTATAAGAGAGTATAATATTTGTTTTATACTATTTTATTAGATTATATTTTGTATTTTATAGTAATTGTTTAATTTTATATTTAGCCTTGTATATAGCTCTTGTATAAAAGAGATCTAAATATTTGCATATTTAAATAAGAAATATAGCCTATATTTTATATGTATTTTAATTATAATTTAATTATATATATATATATATATATATATATATATATATATATATATATATATATATATATATATATATATATATTCATTTTCTTTTTGACTCAGTCCCTTTATTAATCTGGGGCCACCACAGTGGAATGAACCGCCAACTTATCCAGCACATTTTTTATGCAACGGATGCCCTTCCAGCTGCAACCCACCACCGGAAGAAAAAAAACACATTTGTGTATTTCTTAAAGTTGAATTTTTTTTAAATTACAAAAACATTTACAAACAGGCTATATGTCTTGTAGCCTATATTTCATATCAAAACCTATAGATAAATATTTTTCACAAATACATTTGTACATATTTATTTTGCTATTAATATAAGATTTTGTTGAAGAACAATGGGCTAGTCTTTCGGACCTAACGTAAATAAACTTTTAACATTGTCAGATTTTTTTTAATATAATGCAATTAAATATTTAAATAATTATATAAAAAATATAATGTATTCACTCATTCATTTATTCCTTTTTTCAGCTTAGTCCCTCTATAATCCGGGGCCAGCATGTTTTACGCAGTGGAAACACATCACTGGGAAACATCCATACACACTCATTCACACTCATACACTGATACACAACAGACAATTTATCTTACCCAATGCACCAACAGCACATGTTTTTGGACTTGTGGGGGAAACCGGAGCACGCAGAGGAAACCCACGCCAATATGACGACATCATGCAAAGCCCACACAGAATGTAATATGTAGACCTGTTATACTGTAATAAAAATTTTACTTTATATATGCATAGGTCTGTTTCTTCTATATCCCTAGAAGTCAAAACATTTTTTTATAGTATAATACATTTACGCTATTTATTTCGCTAATTATTTTACATTTAATTAAAAAATAACAGGCAAGTGTTTCTGACCTAACATGTAAGTAAACGTATAACATCGACGAATATTCGTTTAAAAAAAATAAATACATGTAAACAATACAGTGTGTATTATAGCTGACTTTTGATCTTTTTTAAAGCGCAACAGCGCCTATCTCTGGTCGTGCACCAGCACAACAGCGCATGGAAGAAAAACAGCACCACGCGCCTCAGCAACAGTAACGTCGTCTAGTGTGCGCGGGCACGACAGTGCGGGAGCGCGCACCTCAACGCCATCTGTCAGAGGGGGACCCCCTTACCACCCCTTCCAAAAATACGCCTGCAACCTCAAAAAAACATCGAATTCTGTCTTTTATCCTTCCGCTGAAGAGAATCTATTCATAAAGCAGTCACTTCCATGATCCAGCGCTGCTCCAGCATCACCTTTACAGCGACGCCCATAGCAACGCCTCTGCGCATCCTCAATCTGCTTCTCTGACCCAGCAACACCGGCCGCCTTCCACCAAGCCAACAACCAGCCGCTTTTCAGCGACCTTCCAGACGCTGCATCCATTTCACGCCGACCCCTTTTCTTTTTATCGCAAGGGACCATGAACGCGCTGTGTGCAGTCATTCTCTCATCAGTCGAAGGTACCAAACGCCACGCGCACATTTATCAATGCATTGCATGTTATTGTTCTGTTATGGCTGTCGTTTTGCATGCAGATTGAAAAATGCACGGAGTGTTTGTAGATTATTAACAACGCGTCTAGTGTTGTTTTTATAACATCGAGAGAGAGAGAGAGAGAGAGAGAGAGAGAGAGAGAGATAGCCTAGCGATTCGCATGCGGTTGGTGGGCTTGTTTTCGTTATTGCCGAGCGCGGGGTGCGGTGCTGCAGATTCACACTGATGATGATGATGGTGATGCGACTCCCGCAATCATAAAAGCTACCGGGAAATGCTATTATAAATACATATTTAGGGTTTTCCGCATTTAAATGTTTGACCTGTTTGCTTAAAGTGAGAACCTTCATAGATAGTTGTTATATTTGACGTTTTTTTTTTAGATATTCGCATAAGGTGTTTTTGATATTATATTTTAAGCGACGAAATATATTATGATTGTATTTTATCAATGCGTTTAAGCAATTTAATTTTGCAGTGCACTGCATTAATATCACACCTTATCTAGATCTGGTTGCCATGGCAAGCACCATTGCTGAACACAGGCTTTAGGGGGCACTATATGGGGGTAAACATTGTCATATTCATTTTAAAACAACAACCATTATAATCCATCAGCCTACAGTTTGCTGTATTTTAAGTTTTTTCCTTAATGCATAAAATCAATCTTCATATGCAGAATATCACAAAGTTAATACATTTCCTAATGGGACTTCACTTTTTGTTGATTATTCATGGAAGGAACAGACAAGGATTATGAAAAATTGTGTTTAGAGAGAGAGGCTGGGCAGAATGTACAAAATAAATGGGGGGAGGAGGTTGGGGTGGCAGAGGTTATAACATAAACAGCGCCCATAGATGGATTATGAGATTATGGATAGAGGCCAAGAGATAATCATTATTTTAGAGCGAGACAGGAGAGTTAATGCTTGGTCAGCTGATCAGCAGTTTTTGCAGTGGAACAATCAAACTAAGAGTTTAAAAGAATACATCATTACTTTTAGTCTCCATTTTCCTTTTTGAAGCTCGACTCTTCTGTAGTTACACTGTGTACTACGACAGATGCTATTTTATAGGGTGATTTGGCTAGGAACTATACTCTCATTCTAGCCTAAGTATATAGGAACTTTGCTGCTGTAGCATGGCTGCAAAAGGCACAAAGATACTACAAGGTAACTACAGAAGAGTCTACTGTAGCTTTAAATAGGAAAACTACGATAAATCTTTTTGGATTTTGTTTTAGTTTGATGCTATTGGTCTAATTCGATTCAATGACTTATGCTAAGCTAAGCTAAAAGTCCCAAAGATCAACTGAATTGATTAAATAACGTTAAAACTCAACTGTTTAACTCTAGTTGGCCTTTAAAATGAGCCTATTTCCATTCATTCATTCATTTTCTTTTCGGCTTAGTCCCTTTATTAATCTGGGGTTGCCACATCAGAATGAACACCAATTTATTCAGCATATGATTTAAGCAGCAAATACACTTCCAGCTGCAACCCATCACTGGGAAACATCCATGCACACTCTTTCACTACACTGTAAAAACAAATCCGTAATTTTACGGTTTATTTCCAGCAGCTAGGTGTCTGAAAAAAAAAGTATAATAACAGCCGTTAAATTACAGAAATTTACCATATAATAATGGATTTTAAATTACAGAAACAGAAATGTAAATTTAAGGAAATTTCTGTTATTTAATATCCATTATTTTCTGGTATATTTCTGTAATTTAACTGTCATTATTTTACGTTTTTTATGGCACCCCAGCTGCCGGAAATAAACTGTAAAATTACAGATTTTTTTTTACAGTGTACGAACAATTTAGCTTACCCAATTCACTTATAACACGTCTTTGGACTATGGGGGAAACCGGAGCACCCGGAGAAAACCCACGCGATCACAGGGAGAACATGCAGAACACAGAAATGCCAAATGACCCAGCCGAGGCTCAAACCAGCAGCCTTCTTTCCAGAAAATGGGAAAAAGTCTTGATTGATGATAAATAAAGTCTAATATTCTCCTCTTGTTTTGCATTAGCCACTTCTCATTGCGAAAGGCCGTCCTCCAGCTGAAACCCTGAGGGATCCTCCTCTTTTGAAGTCACCTGTAAGTTCTGGCCTATCAAGGAACTGGCAGCGGCACGGGAGCTCCGCCCACCACACCCTCTAAATGAGGGACAAGGCCACTCAGGTGAGGCGTTCATGCTGTTAAATTATGATTATGTCCTTAAGTTAATATCATAATAAATACGGTAAATTTCAAATGACATGGACAGCTTATTAACATTCAATATTAAATATTTATTTTTTCAGAAATGCCAAAATTAACATGGCAATTATGCTTCAATAAACCTAAAAACAAATAACAGGTCAATTAATAATTTTGTCTTTTAAATTATGTTAATATCATTTCATAAGCTGCGTCCCAAATGGCACACTATACACTATGCACTCATGCACTATGTACTTATGCACTTACACACTCAACAGGATAGTACATGTATGTAGTGGCGTCCCAAATGGCACACTAATGTTTTTTTTACTAAGCGGAAATTCAAACCGTTTCCCTGATGACGTTTGACGGTTGCCAAATCAGTTAAATAAACGACTGAATTATCAAATAATACCTATCGTGAGTATTGCCGCATTTACCATCGGTAGCTGCTATAATCACTCTCGAAGGATAATTTTGCTTTTAACATTCAAAATAAATAAAGTTATCTAACATGTGCACCCGATAGCTCCGCCCCTTCCGCTACGTAAGCAAACCTGCGGTCGTTGAGTGTGTGAAGTGTCCATCATTACACACTTCATTTTAGCAGCTGAATGAGTGCATCATCCGGGTAATTAAAGTGCACTTATTATTTTTAGAGTTTTCAGTGTGAACGCACTACTTACACTATCTATACTAAAAAAATGGCGTAGAATAGTGCATAAGTATGCGATTTGGGACGCAACTATACATTAATGTTATTCAGTATGTCTTTTAGTACTCCTTATTAAGAGCTGGTGCGGCCATTGTAATTTGAATGTGAGGAGATTTCCAGCTTCATTCACATCTACTGATTTTCAGCCATACAAAACAGCTCTTTATGCTATTGATTTTTTTTCTTAAATTATTTTAATGTATTGTCATGAACAAACTGGTTTGTGCAAATAGTTTGTCAATTTAATGACATTTGTTATTTCCAGTCATTTACCCATATCAGCTAATGAATCGGAAGTCTAAACACTTCTTCGAAAAAAAGAGGTCACTTCTGCATTGAATGCCTACCAGTTAAAGCATTTAAAAATACGCATTATAAAATACAATGAATATAAATTGATAATGATATAACACTTTAAAAATTATATATTTTGTTTTATTTTAGCAGTTATCATGTATATAGATAAATCAAATAAAAGATTGAAATACAACAAAGTACACAACGGCATACGATGTTAATATTAGGTTAGATTTAGGTCGTGACATCTGGTGACAAAAATAAAATGTCTAGTCATCGTCTAAAGACAACGTTATTTTGACGTCCAATAACAATGTCAAATGAGGCTGATATTTGCTTGATTTCAGGTTGTGTTGGAAAGTGAGCAAATTCCACCGTCAACATCTTAAATCAACATCATATTGATGTCAAATACTGACATTTATTTGTCAGGTATGGCAACCAAAATCCAATGTCTGATAGATGTCATAGTGCTAACGTCCACACAATATCAAGCTATAACATCATTAGACGTTGATATTTGATTGATTTTAGGTTGGACTTTGGATATTGACGTCGGCCTGACGCTAGGTTCTGACATCAACCCGATTTTTATTTCGAAACTAAATGCAATTTTTCCATGAGTTTAAGGTACAACATCAATCTGACGTCATGTTGACGTCCTGTGCCTGCAGGGATAATACTGTCATCTGACAAAGAATCTTCTTTTTTACCAATAGAATTGTTCATGTGCTACTCTTTTTTTGTTTTCAATGATAATTTATAGTTTTTATACTCCAAAAAAATTACAAAAAGCAGACAAATAGTCCATGAATCAAATGTTCTGAAGCCAAACAAAAATGTTCAATGACAAACAAGCTAAGTAATCTTCACCCCCGAATCATTAGATTTTTGTATTGTTCTGTTCATTGCTCAATTTCTCTATTCTTGACAATTTCCTCTTGTTTTTTAATGTCAGACCCCTAGGGCCTGGGTAGATGAGCGGAGGAGAGGCTCTCATAAGCGATCGGCTTCCTGTGGCAGTACAGACCAACTGAAAGAGGTGAGATGTCTACAGTTATCGTAGCATACACTGATCCACTGCTCCTCTTTTGTTTATTTTTTTTTTTCTGTGCTATGCTGTCCATGATCCACTTTCTGATTCTTTCAGATTGCAAAACTACGGCAACAGCTCCAACGCAGCAAACGCAGCAGTCGTCATCGCCGGGACAAAGATCGCAAGTCACCCTTTAACGGCAACCATGCAATCATCCAGTCACAGGTGGGTTCATCTCTTCCCTGCAGCCACCATTTGTGTGTCTGTATATGAGTAATAATACCTGGCCTATAGTAGACGCTGCAGAACAGAAGTAGGCCAAACGTCTGGAGATTTTAATAGCGTCCCATTTTCTCTGCGTATCTGTCCCAATTTTGAGGCCTCTGTGGTCTCTGGAGACCAATAGACAGGACTGTCCCACAGGACAGTGGCTGGTTTTAGAGTAGATTACAAAAGTGTCCTCTAGCAGCCTGCTGTCATCATTAACAGCCTTTAGACCGATAACACATTGTGTTTCTGTGTGTGTGTGCATTTTCATAACGTTGTGCAATTAATTATACGAGACACCTCAGCGGTGTACAGCAACTTGGCATGCAAATGAGCTCCTTAAATAGAAAGCTCTGCATTTTTTTTTTTTTGGTCCATTTCAAGGAATAATTCAGGTTTGGTACATGTTTGGCAAATACCCAAAAGGTTATACTGAAGTCGAAAAAGGATAGAAGTAATTTTGTCAGGTTTTAAAGCAGAAATGTGAATCTTAGAATCTTTGAATAATCAAATATAATCAAATATAATCAAATATAATATAATATAATATAATATAATATAATATAATATAATATAATATAATATAATATAATATTATCAAATATATTATAATATAATATAATATAATATAATATAATATAATATAATATAATATAATATAATATAATATAATATAATATAATATAATATAATTATGGTGGCACAGTGGGTAGCACAATCGCCTCACAGCAAGAAGGTAGATGGTTCGAACCTCGGCTGGGTCAGTTGGCATTTTCTGTGTGGAGTTTGTATGTTCTCCCTGCGATCTGGCTGATTTTAAAGGCTGATTTTGACTATGGCTGAGGCTGTTAACTATGGGCCATTCACATATCCTGTCTTTTGGGTGCACAAGTTTGTCATTTCCAGGCGCACCAAGTTAAAAGAATAGCACAAGTGCTATTGTTTTTTGTTTTTTTTTTATTTTGTGCTGTAAAATTTTGTGCTTAAATAACACTTAAAAATATAAGAGGTTTTCATGTGATTTACTAAACTAGTAGTGTTATGAAATTAATGAACGCATAATAATTGTGATAACTGTGATTATTCCTCAGACTATAATCGTTCAACCAAAATCTATAAGCGTTGCATCCTACTTCAAACTAAATCAAAGAAAGAAATGAAATAGCATAACAATTTGGTAAATCGAGTACATTTCAGCAGTTCTAAACAACTCACCAGAGTGAAGTTTTGGGGAAGTTTTTTTTATTACTATTATTCCTAATCACTTACGAGCAACCATTGATGCATGGCAAATTACAGCAATCCGTGGGGGTATATTGTGGAATTGCCTTCTTTGACATAATCCCCCCCCCCATTTGTATCTCACGCTATGGGGAAAATAATGTAAGATGTGGCATGGCACAGTAACACTTATTGTCTGGTGTGAGACATGTTGAAGAAGTCCTTTAGCCAGTGGTTTATGAAACTGTTCTCTCTTAGCTACTATCTTTGTGTTTACAAAGTCAGCAGATTCTGTCTGGCCCAAGACATGTGTCTCTGTTTACACCTGTTTTTTGGGGTGCATTTTGGTTGATAGCATCACATGTATCACTTTCCTCTTTACATCTGGTGTTTTAATCCTTAACCCTAACTTTTCTGAAGAGGAAGGTATGTTGGAAGGTGTATGATGAGAGTTTTTTCTTTGTTATATTTTAAAATATGCTTGAACAATTTACATTTAACTGTAAAAGGAGATGACAGAAAAAGATACAGAGAGAAGGAGCTTTTGTGCTCTGATATAGCCATAAAACCAGTATTGTTAAAACAATTATAGCACGATAACAGTTTGCTTTTTACATTCTTCTATGTAAAAATATTTTTCTATAATAATATAAAAATGTGAACAAGCTAAAAACATTTCCTCCTGTTTTTAATGTTGTTAATCTGTGATCGAACTAACAAAAACACATCTTAATAAAAGATGTATACAGAGACAATACTTCTCAAGCACCAGGGAATAATACTTGTTTCTGAAGAATGTAATACGCATGCACAAAAAGGCAAAAGTCTCGCTTTCCAAAAACCTAAATGGATAAGATCATGCAAGCATGAAGAAAAGATTGAGAAAGAGCGCTTACATCACACCACACTCGGAAAAAGTACCCTCAAGCTCAGCAGTAATGGGATCTCAATGGTAATGCTCTCAGTAGTCAGGGTTTGTGTATAATGATGGAGCTTATCCTGGCAGAATGTATGATTTTTGGCAGTGGAGAGACTGGAGAGATTTTATATGTGTGGGCTCACTGCATGAAGAAGTCATTCTAACAGGATTACATTGAACGCTGGTTTTCCCTATGGGGAATCTTTGTGTAGTTGCGATATACGTGGGATTCTAAAGAAGTAGTGTACCTTTTCCTTTTTTTTCAGTCTCAGATGCCTAAAACCATCCTCATTCCCATCCCCATCACCAAATCCACACCTCCCAGATTTCGGAACAGCATAGAGGGGCTCAACCAGGAGATTGAACGCATCATCATACGAGACACTGTGGAACGAGATGAGGTCATAATAGTAAGTGTTTCTCAATAAATAAATACTTTGTGTTAATTCGATTATGACTCTAGTCAGATTAAGGCCATCAAAAATCCCTGTTTACATGGTAAACTCTAAATCAGAGTATTGTCTTAATCATATTAAAATCTGTGTATTGGTGTCCAAGTAAACGTACTCAATGACGACTCAAGCCCCAACCCTAGAAAAAAGGTAGTCACTGATTTTGATGACAGCCTTTCCACAGGTTAGTAGTAAGCTAAAGTAATGTTACTTGCATAGCCTAATGCAAATCTTGCATTCATGCTAACGAACAACTGATTAAAAGAAATACATCAATGCAACTCAAATACATAAAATATAAAATTGAAGTATACTTTAAACTTATATTAAAATGATTAAAAATTGTTTTTTGTCAAATAAAAAGTTTTTTTTAGAGTCATCCATCATAATTTTGTAACTCTAAGGTATCGGTTCAGGTATTTGTTTTAAAAGTACCCATTTAGCACTGGTATCAAAACAACCACAAACAATACCCAACCCTAGTCCAAACACAATCTACACAAAGGAGGTGAAGCAAATATTACTGTTCATCTCTAACTAGGGTCTAAGTAATCTGGGTTAGCAAATAATCAGTTCTTGTAATCAATATTTCTTTTCCAACGGGCATGGAAAAGGGAGTTCCGTCCAACTCTAGCCCTGAAAATGCGCTGGTCTCAAATGGAGCTGAGGAGTTTGTCGCAATCCTGTTGAGCAATGCAATATATTGCTCTGTATCTAAACTATGTTAAATAAGAGAGTGGCCAAGGGCGCGAGAGGGCAGGTTCAAAACTCCAGGACGTTCATTGTTTGTTTTAAGACTGGTTATAGTTAGGTTAACGACACAAAACAGCTTTGAATAGTCATTCCTTTCTCAACTCAGTGGAATCACACATGGACTGATGTTGCTTTAGATTGGTTGTTTTTATCAGCTTTTCCCTCCCCATATGCTTTACAGGCTTTTTGTCGTGACATGAAATGTGAATCTTCTTCTTTTTCTCTTAGCTGTTGCCATCTCATTATACGTAGTTATAACGGGCGTCATGCATCACACACTAAGGTTGATTCTGATTGGATATTTTCCAAAAAAACTCCCTCAATCACATTCTCCTCTCGTTTTTATTAGTCAACGAAAATGTCATCATATTTTTATTATAGTTTTCATCATTTAATTTTTATTTAGTTTTCATTGTTATAAGCTTGTTCGTCACGAACATTATGACGAAAGTTTTGCGTCAACGAAATTAACACTGCAGAAGGCAATGTATTGGCAAAAGTCACACAATGATGGTTAGGGGAGGAATCTGTCACAACACCCAATGCATAGTACATTGCTGCATGTGGGGATGCATAGCTGCAGACCAGTCAGAGTGATTATGATTATCATGTCGTTGATTCGGTTCAATTTAAATTCACGATGCATTTACGATGCATTACATCCTTAATTTTCAATTTTACTTCACATCTATAGAATTTTGGATAACACTTTACTTGAGGGGCTGTTCATAAGATTGTCATAATGCCTTTATAATTATGACATGACACATTAACTGTCATTAAGTGACATTTGCTCAGTCATGACATTTTAAATGCAAACATGACATTGTTTGTTATGACAATTTGACAATCAAATACATCACAACCTTTTTAGTTATCTTTGTCTTGACAACTTGACATTACCAAGACAACAAAACTTGTCATAAATCTGTCATAAACATGATTGTCAGGTACAGCCCCTCATAACAATGACGTCCTGGTGGAAGTGGCTTTTTTAGTAAGATAATGCACCCTGCCACACTGCGCAAATAGTTTGAAGAACATCATGAAGATTTCAAGATCTTTAAAGGTTAAAAAACTCCCCTGCCTGTAGCTTTTTTATTAATATTCAGAACATGATTGGCTTGTTTATGTGTGTACGGTTATAGTTAGAAGAGAACTCTGCAGGACCACATTTCTCCAAGACCTTGCCTACCCCTTGTTTATCATAATTTTGTCTCATCTGTGTCAGTTTTGTCCAAACTAGTGCAGCCCTATTTTGTGTTATAGGGGCTTATCGTGCGCAATCAATACTAATGCAATGTTTGGCGAAATCCAATTAGTAGGAATTGCTTTTGTCCTACTAAAAGAAATGTGCGTGTGTGTTTTAGCCACAGGATGTTCCTGACGGGCACCGCGCGCCCCCTCCCCTCCCCCAGCGCAGCAGCAGCACACGCAGCATCGACACACAGACGCCCTCCAACGGCGGTCTGAGCAGTAACCGTAGCAACAGCAGCAGCCGAGCCGACTCCGTCTCTCCCTCATACCTCAGCATCCTCAATGACACGGTCGGAAACAGTCCACTTGATGACGCACTCAATGAGAGCAAAGAAAGAGGTGAGGAGCACACACGTCATCGTCATCATAGTCATCACACAAGAACTGAAATCCAGCTATTAGATTTCAAAACATTTCTTTCCCTGTTTTAGACCTGGGACCTTGGTCTCCTCTGCCCAAATATGCTTCGTCTCCAAAGCCCAACAACAGCTACATGTTCAAGCGTGAGCCTCCGGAGGGCTGTGAAAGAGTTAAAGTTTTTGAAGAAAACCAGTGAGTAACCACTCTGTAGATATTTGTCTGTTTACTAGTGGAAGATGTTTAATCCCACTCTAAAATGAAGCCAAACATTGAAGTTGGTATCTTATTTTCAAAAAAATGTTATTTGTACTACTCTGTCAGTTTTAAATAGTTGCAGTTTTTTCCCAAAATGTACATGAATATGTAAAGAATTAGAGATTTTGTTTCCAAAAATGTTTAAGTAAACAAATTTATTTTTTTTAAACTAATTCAGTAAACAATGTTTTGAAATAAATTTTGAAATAAATGAGGTTTAGGAAAATAGTTAGATTTGAATTCAATCTAAATGAAACTAACATACAGTACTGCTCAGCATAAATGAATACACCCCATTTTTATCCATTTCTCAGTGAATATAGGCAATGTATTTTAGTGCATTTGAACAAAACAAACTTATTTAAAAGATACATTTATTAAAATAACTTTTCATGTCACCGAACATCTTTATAAATAGAAAAATAATACAAATAAATTCAAGCAAAATATTGAAAAAAAAATTAACAACATTTTAGATAGATTTTTTTCGTATTTTTTTAAGTTTCTATTGATTTTTGCTCTTTTTCAATTAAATTTTTTTTTCTTGACATAAACTTGAGCTACAATTTTTTGGACTGTTATTGTTAACATTTTTGTAAGATTAGCTCCAGATTTGGCTTCATTACTAACTAATTTAATAATGTATTGTATATGCACAAATATAATATTGTAAAGCTTTCTATAGAAAATATTAATTTAAATAAGAGATTTGTGAGGGGTGTACTTATATATGCTGAGCACTGTACATTATGCACTTAAAGTTAAAAAATATTTCAGTTATTTATAAAAAATTTCCAAAATATTTTCAAGAAATCAAGAAACATATTTTCTTTATGTTTATACATTATTATTAGAATTTATTCAGAAACAAATGTATTTCATAAAACAAAATTAGGCCATTTAGGTAATGATTATGACCCAGTAAGTCACAAATATGAGATATAAAGTCAGAACTATGACATTAAATTGTAATTATGAGACTGTCAAAATGATAAGTCAAATGGTCATAGTTATGACAAAAAAAGAAAGAAAAGAACTAGAAAACATGTTATTTGCTGCATAAAACATATGCTGGAATAGTTGGTGGTTCATTCCGCTGTGGCGACCCCTGATAAATAAGGGACTAAGCCGAACGAAAATGAATAAATGAATGTTGGGACTTCAGAAAATGGTACCCAAATATCCTTTGTATAACTGCAGTGCATTAAACCATATAGAGGTGTTAAACCTATGTCCTTACTATTCTTATCATACATTATTATGAACAATCAGTGAACAAATACTACGTCTTTTGTTCCAGGCCAAGGCCTCTCCAGGAGATTCCTCCATATCTCTGCCCAGACAGAAACAAGGTGAACTTCATACCCAAAAGCGGCTCTGCCTTCTGCCTGGTGAGCATCCTGAAGCCTCTGCTCCCCACCCAAGAGCTGACCTTCCGCAGCGGGGTGAGCTACCGCAGCATCTCCCCCTCCCTGGTGCCTCTGACTGGGGTCGGAGTAAGGAGCCTGTCCCCCTCCATGGGCCCCGTCCTGTCCCGTGGACGTCAGTCACCATGCCTCCCACGACACCTTGAGGAGCCAGAGGGATAAAACAATACTAAATTCAGCTGATGAACAGAGATGTCATTTTACCCACACACACACCTCCCGTGTCATCTGATAAAGAGTCAGAGCTTTGTTATGATTTTTTTTAAGAAGATGTTCTGAGAAATACATCTGAAACTTGAACATGAAGGGTTTTTGCTGTTATTTAAAGGTATTACGTGTTTTACAAAGTGGATCACAGTGGAGGCTTTTCAGGATGGTGGATGTAAATAGATTTTTAGTACTGCACTGCTTTTTACTTTCTCGACGATTTATTGCATTTTACCATGAAGCCTTTGAATTTTCTTATGTATAGCGGCATCCTTTAACCTACACTAAAGTTTGGAACAATGAGGAGCTTTTAAAAACTTTTTAATAATGGCTTTTTGCTCACCGAAGCTGCAGACATTTGATTATAAAAATTAAATACAGTTATTAAAACAGTTACATTGTGGAATAATAGTTGATAATAGTTACTTTAATATATTTTAAAATGTAAATAACTTCTCTCATGGCAAAGTTGAATAATTTACTCCAAATTTCTTTTTTATTATTTTAACTCATTCATTATTTTCTTTTGGACTAGTCTCTGATTTATCAGAGGTCACCACAGAGGAATGAACTGCCAATTATTCCAGCATATGTTTTATGCAGCAGATGCCCTTCCAGCCGCAACCCAGTACTGGGAATTTTCTTTTAATTTTAATATATTTTTAAATTGACTTTATAGTAAGTTGTAAGTAATGTGTATTTATATAGCGCATTTACTGTGTTTGGCTATACACACAAAGTGCTTCACAATCATGAGCGGGGTCACTCTACATCATCATTAATTCGCAGCATCCACTTGGATGATGCGACGGCAGTCACAGGACAACGGCGCCAGTGCGCTCACCACACACTAACTATTGGTGGAGTGTAGAGACAGTGATAGAGCCAATTCGGTGGATGGGGATGATTGGGATGCCATGATGAGTGGGGGCCAATTGAGGGAATTTGGCTAGGACACCGGGGTTACATCCCTACTCTTTTCGAGGAGTGCCATGGGATTTTTAATGACTACAGAGAGTCAGGACCTCGGTTTAGTCTTATCCGAAGATGGATGCGAAAGATTTTATTAATCTGATGGCAAATCAGAATATTTTATTCCACTAATTTACTTGCTGCTTAACATTTTGTGGAAAGATTAAAAAAAAAACACTATTACTGTGTTTATTTTAGATGATAAATGAAAATGACATTTTTAGGTTGAATATATATTTTTAAATCTTACTTAAATTTGGAAAAATAAAGAAATAATGTAGAAGTTATGGCAGCACATTTGAGAACACACAGAAATTATGATTTACTACCATTTAAAAGTTGGGTTATGACTTAAAAAGTGGGGTAAAATAGTATTTTGTTTAACAAAAATGCATTTATAATTACAAAAAAATGGTTTATATTTTTATTAATGCTGTTCTTTTTTCATTTAAAAAAAATGAATTTCCACAAAAATATTGAGCAGCAAAACCCGTTTTCAGCATTAATTAATTCATTCATTTTCCTTCAGTTTAGTCTCTATTTCAGAGGTCGCCACAGCAGAATGAACTATTCTAGCATGTGTTTTGCGCAGCAGATGCTCTTCCGGCCGCAACCCAGTATTGAAAACCACAGTGCCTGGAGAAAACCCATACAAACACTGGGAGAACTGGACAAGCCTGGACTCGAACCAGTGACCTTCTTGCTGTGAGGCGACAGTGCTAACCATTGAGCCACCATGCCACAGTTTTCAGCATTAATTTAATTTTAAATTTTTGTATGATTTATGTAGGACAGTGGTCCAAACTCGGTCCTGGAGGGCCGGTGTCCTGGAGAGTTCATCTTCAAATTGCTTCAACACACCTGCCAGGAAGTTTCTATTTTATCTAGTAAGAGCTTGATTAGCTGGTTCAGGTGTGTTTGATTGGGTCGATTGAGTTTGGACACCTCTGATATAAGACTGTATCAAATACACCACAAATAACATTTTAAAATACATTTAAATAGAAAACAGTTGTATTAATATGAGAAATTAAATGTGAGCTTGGGTGAGCAAAAAAGGTTAATATAAAAAATCTTGATTATTCCACACTTTTGCTCTGTAGTGTAAATGTGAGTGATTTGATTTAGTGGGGAAATGGAGGTTTTAGGTCATCCAGTTTTGCTTGCTTATAGTTTACATGCAGTTTCAAGTAGTTCTGGAAGAGCAACCAGAAAGGTTGTAGCAGATTTGAGGAGGACTAACAAATGTGCCTGACTCCCACCACCTTTCCGTAGGACCCCATTTGCTTGAAGTCTTTTTTCTATCATCGTCCGAGTCTACTTTTGTCTCGCCCTCTTAAATGTATAGAACCCTTCCCTTCCCGTATGTATACTGTATGTAAACATGTGCTTAATGTGACTTGCCTGTGAATGAGAGGAAGTTTCTTTAGATAGTAAACGAACGCAGCCTGAAATGAAAAGACATCGATCAATTGTACTGGGCAGTATATTGTGATTTAATGCACTAACGCTAAATTCAAAGATTTGTTCAGCCGAAAAGTGTCGTTACTGTAATTTGACGGAAGGAATACAATGGATATGATGGAGCTAATGATATTGATTTGAACTGTAGCATCTTTATACTGTGAAATATGACATTATTCTTACCATACAGCTTCGTTTCTTCAGAATAAAGTTAGAGTTAGTTCGGAGCAAAGTTTTTAAATCCTGTCATCATTAACGTTACTCACCCTCATGAGGAGGAAAGTCGTTCATCTTCTGAATAACGTACAAATTGAAGGTATTTTGAATGAACTAAACAACTGACGTTTCGTATGTTCGTATAAACACATGAATATGAAAAGTTAAGTCTTTAAGTAGAGTATTTAAGTCTTAAAAGTATTAAGGTTTTCAGGGAAAAAAAAAACGCGGTCACTTCCTAACAAACGTCCGTTATTTTTAAATAGCCTGAACAGTGTTGCCAGATATAGTTGACTTTTTCCAGCACAATCTGCCCCAACACACAACAAAATTGCCCTAAATATTAGATTAATATTTTATTTAATCTATTTAAATGTGATTAATTAACCTACTAACTGTAACTCTCAAAATTCTTTAAACATGTTACAGCAACCAAAGACAGCAGCCACAGAATCACAACCTGATGATCATATCAAAACACTGCCCCCTCTCTCACACACATTGCACTTATTGTTGTGTAGATTTCTCAACCACGTTCCTGGAGGACCACCTGCTCTGAACATTTTCCATTCCAAAACATGCAGTGTTGGTGGTCCTCCAGGAACGTGGTTGAGAAACACTGTATTAGAGTATGTTTTACTTTCGAAATGGAGTATAAATTAGTCTAATTTGGCGTTTTGAATTCTTTTGAACATTAGGCGCTGCTTGTAAATCAGACAATGCTTTTATGTTTGTTCTTGCTGTCAATTGTGGAAAAAATGACAAAAGCGTCGTGACAAACCGCTGTGAGTTTAACTGCAGGCACTGCGTGATGCGCATGCATGTGAAGTTGGATTTGTGCGGGAAGTCAGATTTCGATACTTTCCTTCACCTCCTCTTGCGGGCGGGCCCACACGGTTTACGCTATGCACTTATCACTACTAACTGAATGGAGCAGGGGCACACAATTATGTTTTGCTGAAAAAGTTGCATATAAAAATTTCAAAACTGCCCAAATTTGTTCAACCCCCTTACGCCATTTTTTTTAACCCGCACAATCAAATTCAAAACAGTCCAATCTGGCAACACTATCTACAAACCTAACAAAAGCTCAACCTCTTTTAATTGGCACACTAGAGAACAAACTTCGTTGATTTATCTTGCCGCGTGGCACGCAGGAAGGAACCTTATTGGTTTCAGAGCGAACCAAATTTAAATATTTAACAATTCGTTAGCTCTTCAATATATATTTGTGAACAAAAGCCTGATAAAAGTTTGTTCATATTATATTGTGACTGATTAATTTATTTAGATTTTTTAATCTCTTCAGGAACATTTAAACAGAAACGTTATCTAGTGAGCAAATGACAACAGGATTTGGACATTTTGTAGTAAATTAAGCCTTTAGAGAAGGCAATCCTGAACAAAATATACGTAATTGCCTTAAATCTGAATTCAAAACAAACATGTGTAAATTAAACAGGTGCCTGAACTGAATTCACTTGAGCTCTTACCATAACTTTTTTTCTTTCTGTGGAAGAATTTTCAAGATTGGTTTCCTGACTGGATAAAATTGAATTTGGCATGACAAAACCTATCAAGACAAGAGACAAATAACGATCCGAAACAGAATTTGACTCAAATTTATTTGCTCTCAGATGCACGGTCTCCCATTCCAGTTTCCTTCAATGAAATTGTACATTATTTAACTGAAACAAAAGGCAATGTTGCATAAAATAAACAGATGAAAGCAGCAAAATGGTGTGGTGTACATTCTTTTTCCTTACCAAAAAAGACAGTGATACAAGATAACATTATCTCCAAACACAGGTCTCTAATACAGACACTTCAAAATGATAAACTGCACTCAAAGACAAAAAAAAAAGATGTGCTCCATGAAATAGGGAGCTATTTTGTGAGAAATTCTCCACCTAAACAAACCATTCAGATCGACAAACAAGTCTTTGCCTAAAACAGACCACATACATTCTAGAACAATCGACAAGAATATTTAGTGCAAGAAACAACTTGATTCCTCGGTGACACTTTACAATAAAGTTTCATGTACTGACAAAAGTAACAAGAACTAACAATAAGCAGTTTTCAACAGCATTTATTAATAATAACTGCAGCACTTACTAAAATAAGGTTGAAAGACTAATTTTAACTGTAGTTAATTCATTTGACATCAGCATAAGTTAGTAAAAATGCTGTAAAATTTTTTATAATCAATCCAAGCTAACTCAGTGAGCTAATGTTAACAAATGAGGCCTCATTGTAAAGTATTAACGATTTCTTTAAAGCGACAACAAACGGATATTTGATTAATGCACTCCTTATGAGTGAAAATCTAGGATTAAATGAAATGTTTTCTAGATTGCTAAAGTAAAACAGGTACATAATCTGGTGCTGAAGGTGACAAAATATCACATACATTCACAAACTCCCATTGCAGTGTTTTGAATCACAGTGAAGAACATTTGTGAGAAGTTAGATTTTTTCCACGATTCTTATCAGTGAAAACAAGAATTCCTCATCTATTATTTGCTCCACTGAAACGAGACCTTCTCATTCCCATCGAACAAATGGCACAACACTTGCATATATAGTTTACAGTAACACTTTTTATTGTAATAAATACATTTCATTGTTGTATAATTAGGGGATAAACTATTCCAGTGATTGTGACTTCCAAAAATATGTTTTAGTGATTTATGCATATGCATTTGGTGTTTGTGGTGATTAAAAATACAGTCTATAATCGATAATAGACGTTACAAATAAGTAACCCTGTTTCTGGACATTAAAACTATCAAATCAATCCAAATATACATCTTTTTTTGGTCCCTCGTCTTAAGTAATGGGCAAAAACCCAACCTTTGTGGTGCTTTAATTGCGTGCACTTCATAAAGTAACATACTTTAGTTTCATGTAACAACACTGCTGTGATATAGAGATGAAAACCCTTCTGTGTCTTAATGAGCATATAGTAAATTCACACACACTCACACATGAAGAAAGCAGGAAGGAGACACATTTCCATAGCTCAGAAACCTTCCCGTGGTGGATTTGGATTGAGGTTTCTGGAAAATTCCTTGGCTCAGGTTGAATGGTTTTGAGGAGAGGTACTGTAGTGTTCCAGCTCCCAATAAAGACTTGGGATATGCCCTCCATTCCGTCATTCTGATGGACAAACTATTTGTAGGATGTTATTCAGCTCCATATCATCCTTCATGGAGAGAGGTGAAAGGCAGCGTTATTACTAGAATACTTGTAACTAGTAAAGCAATATTTATGTCTGAAACCTGGAGAGAGAAGTGATATTACACAATAAATTAATTAATCGCATTTCATACGAAGGAGGAGTTGAATTTCCTTCTTATTGACCTTATTCTAAAATGCGGAAGTGCGGCTGTTTTCACGATTGTTTTAGAACTTCCGATTCAGTCGCCTATGAGAGAAATGACTAGGAATAATAAACGGCAGAAAAAGGTCAAACTACTCTACAAATAAATGTTTGCATTACTATACAGACCAAGTAGAATATTATAATTAGAAAATATCAGTTTGCATTATGAATGGAAGTGAATGAGACCGGAAGTCTCGAGCCAAAAAGATTCAAATGGCTGCGCCCGCTCATCGGCAAAGAATTCAGTGAATACGATGAGCATGTTCGTCAATTTAGGGGCATCTAGGTATATAAAGTGGTTTGGTAAATAAAACTACCTAAAAATAAAAAAATACAATAAATAAAGACGATAACACTTATATTGTGGTCACAATTCACGCAATTAAATACCTGCTTATTACCTGTCTATTATTAAGATATTAACTGCTTATTAGTAGTAGTATGATCTTACTCTTTATCCCTAATCATACCCAATACATAAAACCAACTACTACCCAGGCCTGGATAAAGAACTCAGAGGCCCCTGGACACAATGTCCTATAGGCCCCCTACCTAGCCGCACCCCAATAGTTGAATTAAAAAAAAATAAGATTAATATAATATTTTTGAATCAAATTAATCTGTAAATGCATTGCCCACATTTTTTTAAATAAATGGATATACAGTACATATATTACTAATCTACAACGATTTAACTTATTTTTAAAGCATTTAAAGCATATTTTGAAAAAAAAAAATACTACTACAACTAGTGAAAATGATCAGATTTGAATATACTTGTTCAAGTTCACAGAAGCAGTACTAAAAATTTATATTTAATGGTATTTTTAATGTATAACTTTTATAAACTTATAATGCATAAGATTTGGATATAACACCTCTCCAGTCCAGTTCTATACACACACTTATTTATGATTCCTACTTGTCTTTCTTTTAATGAAGAGTAGGCAAAATCTGATATGTAGTGGGGGGTGGGGGAAGAAGAACATGTTCATTAGATTCTAACCAGGTTTATGATCGATCGCGTCAAAAGATGTTGCCTCGCGCTTAACGAGCTACGCCACTGTGAGTTTGAGCTACTGCTACAGTAGCACTGCACTAGTTTTTAGCAGAAACTCATAACACCAGGAAACAAAACCTTAACACAAAAAATTATAGAAACGCCCCACTGTCTACTAGCATTTCAGAAGTGCTGTCAGAGAGCAACACAGACAGAACACAGAACTATAAATGCTCACAATAGCATTGGCTTTGTGTATGGTTTGATCGGTGATCACTCAACAGAAGTATAATTCAGGCTTTATATTAAATCTTCACGTGATCAGAAAGCATGATCAGTGGAAGATTTTTATAATTATTTTTTAGGGCTTTTTACCTTTATTGATGGGACAGTGGAGATGTACAGACAGGAAAGTATGGGGAGAAGAGGTGGGGGAAGGATCGGCAAAGGACCTCAAGCAGGGAACTCGGGTAGCTGCGAGCACCTCGGTTCTATGTGTCGACGCACTAACCACTAGGCTATTGGCGCCGACTTGACATTATTCTTAGTGATTGGTAGTGGTGAACATGCACTACACACACTTACAAAAACACCTCAGGCATTGAGGAACTCTTGATCGCTGCGTCCTATAGCATCTGGATTGGACAGAGGGTCAAGATCTGCAAAGAGGTTGAACCAGGCAGACATGTCCCGGGAACTGCCTTTAGGTGCTGAAAACATACAAAGTGGTGAATTACTATAAAAACGGCACAAACGGAAATGACTGAAAAATCATATAAAAATCTCACCATTTGCCGAAGGGTTTGTAGTGTTCAGTGTAGGCTGAGATTGTCCTCCAGTAGATGGTGGTTGGAGCGGTTGAGCCTGAAACATAGGTGGAGTCGCCCATCCTGCATAACGCAAACACAATGAACAAGAACATCATGCTCTGTAAACATCTAGCACAAAAAAAAATTTGTGTGTTCCTTCTGGGGATGCACAAGATTATTGAAATGCTCAATAAATAGGCAGATAATGGACTGAAATGTAAATGGTGGCCCGATTTTGATGATATGCCTTAAAGATAAGAAGATACGTTGATTATTTATGAGCCCGGAGTGATTTATTTGTCCACCAGGAAGATCCGGTCAGCAGTCTGCTCATTCAGGAACTGAATGTTTAGATTCAATCCATAAAGACTTCAAAGTAGTAACTACCGGAATCAACTTCAGGACAGGAATTAACTCCCAGAGTCGAGTCTGTTTTTCAAATATTTCTGAGTGAAGCAGTAACATGCTACAGTTATAATGCTCATTCTCAAGCACGATGAACACTGAAGGCGCCCGCTTTAAATGAGCGCTCACACGTTTTACACTTTCGAATTTTAAACTTTGTGACCATGAGCATTCTAGGCTATAATAAATAGTTTGCTTTTACTTTCAAATTCCTATAAAGCAGCTGTTGCATTTTGGCATTAAAACATTTTGGTTTGGATCTGCTTGCGATGTGAAGTTTGTTGTGTAATGATTGGATATAGCCTATATGTACATGTGTGTGAATTTGGAGCGGATCTTATTGCCGGATCGATGTCTTAAATTAGCACTGCAGGTAAAATTATATCGTTACCTTAGGCTATTGGGTGCTGCTGCTACATACTCAAGTAATTCTTTTATTTAACCTAAGCCATTTCATAAATAAATAAATAAAACACTCATCATAATGACAAAGGTAGCCAAGATTTATTTATTTACAAAATCTGACAATATATGTGGTCGTGGTAATGTTTTGGCCTTGAATGCACTTAATTTCACCTCTAATTCATTCTTTGGTTTATTTTGTAAATAACTACTAAAATACATCAGAATTAAAATACAAATTATACCAAACAAAATTCATTTCCAAAATAGGATTTAAATTAAAATATAGCCAAGGCTATAAATGTTCAAAAACAGGTCTGACTCACTCCTTTTCTTCCGGTGTATGCCATCCCATTAACACACCCTTACTGAATAATCAACAAATTGCACAAAACAAACATTGATATTTAAAAGTAAAGTAATGGGCTATATAAAAGTACACTTTAAAGAAACTCACATTTACGAGAGAGAGCAATATGATGCTTTAAGGCACATTCTGTCACTCTGCTTTTTTTTTTTTAGGTTTGTTAATGTATGAATCATTTAAGTTAAATATTTAGTGTATGGGGTTTAATATTTAATTGGTCAGCTATTTTGTTTTTTGATCGGTTAAAGTGTCAAAAAATAAATGAACAACCGCTATGTAAAGCTGCAACTGACGCAACAGCATTGTGTAAAGCGCGATATGATACAGCATGCTTATTCCTTGCGCTACTTTAAGTGTATGTAAATGGAGTTGAGAATCGGAGTCAACAATCAGATTTGACTCTTAAAAAACCCGGAACTGAACACCTCTACTTCAAACCATAAATGTGAGCACAGGATGACTTATGAAATATTTCCTAAAACTAGGGCATGCACGATTAATAGAAGGTGATTATTGAGCACATTTTACAAGCCGGTTCTGCAGCCTGTATTAAAAATCCAGCACCTGCTTTCAGATGGAACAGCATTCACTACAACAAAGCTGTAGTTCACCAACGAGCTATGCAATTTCGCATTCATAAATCACAGATGATTCAATAACAATTAAATCACAATAGTTAAACTACATAATAATTCAATTGAAGATAATCATTTAGTTTGTGTAGCTTCTTAGTGAAATGTAGCTCCAGGTAGTAAATGCTGCTACATGTGAAAGCATGTGAAAACACCACATTTGATGCCATGTTTTTACTCCAAGCTCACTTCACAACTTTAGTTAACGATACTTGTCGAGTGTGTTTAGTAGTCTCTGCTTATAATAGGTCATTTTGTATTTTCATATGCTTTTTTCAGAGTCAAAGATGCTTTTATTCTCCTCTCTCTTCTTAAGAAAAAAGAATGGGGATAAATCCATTCTATTGCACAGAGAGGAAGTAGAGTTCACCTCCTAAACAAAAAGCAGTGCAGGATTATCCCAAAACCAAAGTTTATTTTAGAAAAATCTGTGGTATTTGATACTTTGCTTGCGATACTGCAGTCAAATAATTCTATTCTAATTCTAACTTTCAATAAACAAATGAATTCTGAACAGAGACTGGCAGTACGTCAAAGGTATGGACACAAACACTCGCCAATCAGTGGCATGGGAAAGGTGTGCGGCCAGGCATTAAAACCAGCACACAGTAGTATAATAGCAGTGGTACTTAACCATCCTCCACATTCTGTCTTTACATTAGATAATTTGTCATAAAAATTGTCTGTGCTGCAAATTATAGCAATCTGGGTTTTAGTTTTCGCGTAGAATTTTTAAAATCGCTCTCAAAATGATTTCCAAGGATGTGAAAAATGTTTTTTCTTTAATGACAAATGGAAGTGTGTAAATGTGAATGACACAATGAGAGGTCTTGTATACTTTGTAAATGCACAGAAATTTTAAATGAAAATTTTAGACAATAGCTGCATCCCAATTTCCATACTTATACTAGGCGCTAAAAGTAATTTTGTAAAGTATATGGTTTTGAGTGTGTAACAGAAGAGTATGCAAGCTTTGGGACATACTACTTCCTACTTAACAGATCCTTATGTTTCTTAGTTACATCCCCTGTCAATCATCTCGACACATCATCCACATTTCTTTCATATATGATTACCTAACATATTGGAAAAGCAGCAGTAGTATAATCTGCCATTCTAGCCTTTCATGCAGAGAAATCTCCTCAGCTATTTAAGTAATTATGCATTCAGAAGTTAATGTCCACATGTATCTTGATGTAAGTTTACGTTGTTGCAGATCAAATATAACACGGGAACTGAAAACGTGGTTTAAATGTGTGCTAAAAAATAATTAACAGTCATTCAAACATAAACTTTACCGAAGCCTCTCTACTTGATGATTGGTCTTGCATATCTGCCATGTCTGTAATTTGTTGACACTTTTTTTATTCAAGCTTGTAGGTTTAAAACAAGTTTAAGTCCAATGTGCAATGTATTGTGGGCAATACTACCGGTTAGAGTATGGACACTCGGAAATAGTAAAGCATCCGGTAACCTTTGGCACACCCTTTTCAACATACTATGGTTTGGGACATACTAATTGTATTTTCGAAAACAATTTAGGATGAATAGTATAAGAATTAAGACGCAGCATCAGTGTGCAATGAACTTAAAAGCCTCCCCAAGGTCCGAACACCCGCCTGGTATGATTCAAAAATAGTAAAATAAACGTGAAATACACAACATGAAGTTATCTGATAATATCTGGAGTCTGATTTGATTTATTGTCAGAAAGGTGAGCCGTGGATTCTGTGACAGCCAACAGTCATACACAGCTTAAATAAATATCTGTTAATCCGTTGTCTTCACAGTATTGCTCCCAATTAGTCTTAGTCTTAGTGCCTAACAGATTATTGAATAAGTCAGTAGGTGGTGTGTTACTCTAATAAAAATTAAAGCAAGTTACAAATATATTTATTTAGTGCTATTTTAAATAAAGCACTGATTGGTTTGTTTGGATTTAATTGCCAGAAACTTAACAGCAAAAAAAAAAATACACAAACAAACAAACAAAATACATTAATATCAGTATCAATTATTGACCAAAAGGAGTTTAGTCAAAAATAACAGCTTATCGAATATATGGAAAAACCCAATATTGTGGGTCCCTAGTTCATTCCTCCAGCCACTAGAGGGCCAACTAAAAGTGGTTTCAAACCTGTAGCGCTGAGGCTGTGGTCCAGGAGCTGTGATGGCAGGAAGCCAGAGGGAATGTTTGTTGTTTCTGTTTGAGATAAAGCAGCAGTGACTGGAGCAGGAGGGGCTTCAAAACATCCGAAAGCGTCCTGCCAGGCCTTGCTGAATTCACTAGTGCCACCGGCAGCCCCGGGACTCAGCAGATCCTGCAGGAAAGCTAGATCACCTCGCTCTCCCTCCTCTTCTTTCCCTTCGGCAGAGTGAAATGTCTCGGACAGCAGATCCCTGCCTGCTGAAATAAACAGAAGAATGATGCACTGCAAACACTGAAATGACTCCATAGAATGTTGATCTAGGTAGACCAGTACAAACATTCTATAATCAAGAAACATTTATTGAAGAAGCAAAATGACAGCATATTAAGTATTGTTTTCAGAACAATTTATTGAAATTACTTGAGGTTGTTGTTTTAAGCCAATAGTAAATCTTGGAAGATATATATAAATATATATATATATATATATATATATTTTTTTTTTTTTTTTTTTTTTTTTAAAACCACCAGTTTCTTTCTTCTAATGTAACAGTCTCTTGGTTTGAGAATGTTTGTACTGGACAACAAGACAAAAATACAGAGGAAGAAAATAACATTGTCAGAAAAAAGACATTATTGTGACCAAAAAAGAGAAAAAAGATGAACAGATATAAGAAGAGGCAGCAAAAACAAAGAAAGAAAAGCATTGAAAAACTTTGGCTAATCGCTTAGTCCAGTGTCCAGCATTTATACAGTTGAATTTTTATTTTCTATTTTGAATATTTCCCAAATTATGTTTAACAGAGCAAGAAAATTTTCACAGTATGTCTGATAATATTTTTTTCTTTTGAAAAAAGTCTTATTTGTTTTATTTTGGCTAGAATAAAAGCAGTTTTTAATTTTAAAGTCAAAATTATTAGCTTTAAGTTTGTTTTTTTCTCGATATTCTGCAGAACAAACCAACATTATACAATAACTTGCCTAATAACCTAACCTGTCAAGTTAACCTATGTCACTTTAACCTGTAAAGAAGTGTCTTGAAAAATATCTAGTAAAATATTATTTATTGTCATCATGGCAAAGATTAAATAAATCAGTTATTAATAAAATAAAAAAATAAACAGGGGGGCTAATAATTCTGACTTCAACTGTAAATACACCCCTTACAAATCTATCTTTTCATATTTTTAATAGGAAGCTACACAATATTATATTTGTTCATATACATTAGATTAGGCAGTAGTGAAGACGTTTGAGTGGATTCAAGTAAGTATTATGATTGGAAGACAAATCATTATGAGGGGATGGCGTTCAGCAGGTCCACCTTCATTTCAGGAATGGGTTACGGAATTGGGGAAGGTGGCAGCATATGAAAAAAATACATATAAATGAATGAATAAATTGGATGTTTATTAGAAAATATAGGGAAATGATTTGGCCTTTTTGGAGGATGAATAAAGTCACTGTGATGCGACACAGTAAAAGTGTAATTATCTTATTTTATTAACTTATTTGTTTATTATTATTATTGTGTATTTTTTGCTACTATTATTTCATGTATGTGTGCATTTTTATTAATTGAATTTATCATATTTATCTGTATTTACTGGATTTATGATAGCAACATCTTATTACTGTAATTGTTGCTGTTGGGGTGGGGAAGGATAAAAGGATGTACAATTTTGTAAACTGATGGTACTGTTAAATTATTGAGGAAAATGTAAAAAAAAATCAAATCATAAAAAAGAAAATCAATGGCTACTTAATTTAGAAATAAAGCATACATAACAAAAAAAAATGGCTAATCAACAGTGATTTTAAGAAAAACATCTAAATTAAAATATCAAACAGATCACAATAGAATAGGTAAAGGAAAGCAACATAAAAATACTTTTCACCAGTTTAAAGACAATGTTATGTTCCAGAGACAGAGTCAAAAACCTCAGGAGCATTTGCAGTACAGAAGAGAATTTGAAGAAGCTGCAAGCATCAAAATATTTCAGAATAACCCTTATGAAACCTCAAGCTGACAGATCAGGTTGTGAAAGCACATCTGAAGGAAGTGTAAGATTTTTAGAGAGTAAGAGGAGGCTGTAAGAGAGCCCTAAGCATTGAAGAGATGCCCAGTCCTGCATTTATACCTATCTGAGGTTGCAAACTGCAGGATAAGGCGCCTGTATCCCACTGAGTAGCAGGAGGTGTGGAGGCCTCCCGCAGTATTTGAGGCTGCATAATGGACATGGATGAATGTAGGGCTGGAGTGAGGGAACGGATGGAGTCGAGTTCAGGGGTCATTAATAGGAGGTCATCGTCTGTGGTGGATCCACCAATGGGCCCTAACTGTTCAATCAATGCTGGGTGGAGGTGAACATGAGAAATAGCAGCCATATTAAAAATAAAAGAGAAATAATCACACTAGGAGATGCACCAACTAGAGAGCAAAGATTTAATTAAAGAAGCTGCACCGATTAGACTATAAAGATTAAGTAAACCACTGTAAAATAAAAAAATTAAAAACTATATATACAGCGAGCTCAGTAAGTATTTGATCACCCTGGGATTTTTCAATATCTCCTATTTAGAAATCATGAGGGGTCTAGAATTTTTACCATAGGTGCATTTGCACTGAGAGAGACAGAATCTGAAAAAATATCCGGAAATCACATCGTATGATTTTGTTTTAACAATTTATTTGTAAATTACTGTCAAATAAGTATTTGATCACTTGCTTTTCAGCCACGTTTTTGACCCTCAGAGACCTGTTATTTTGCTTTTAAATAGTCCAGCTACACTCTGCTCAGGATTCTAATTTTGTAGCACCTGTTTGAGGTTGTTAGCAGTCCTGTGCACCCCACAATCAGTCAAAAGTCTATGTAGCAACATGGGCAAAACCACAGAGCTGTCAAAAGACAAAAGAGACAAAATTGCAGAACTTTACAAAGCTGGAAAGGGCTACGGGGAAATTGCCAAGCAGCTTAGTGAAAAAAAGAACTGTTGGATCAATTGTCAAAAAATGGAAGAGGCTAATGATGATCCCTTAGGCCCCGCTTACACTAGTGCATTTTAGTTTTAAAACGGCGTTTTAGAATGAAAACGATCCGCGTCCACACTCGCGTTTTACCCAGCGTTTCTGAACAGCTCTCCGTCCACACCAAAACGCTGAAAACGCACATCACGTGACCACACAGACACTCTCGGGCAAGCGCTGCAGCCTCTCTACCCAGATGAGAGCTCTGCTAGTCGGACTTCTCATCAAGCATCTCCCGCTGGATCTAATCTCACTATATTTATTAAACGGGATATTTCATTCATCTTGTTGTCTTTATCTAACGACATGCTCCCTGACTTTGGTCATTGGAATCTATTACTTGTTCTCAGGTAACATGTTTTGGCCGAGCGCAAAGATAAGTTAATGATTAATGTAAGCACGTACATTCTGTATTGACTGATCGCTTGCCTTTATTCCTATAATGTATAAACTTATTGTATGTTATACTTTTATAATGGCCATTATCGATTATTAAAACTGATATTCACTGAAATTGAAAGGAGTCAGTTGTTATCGGCTCCGTTTTGTTTTAAATATCCACACAGTGAAGATGACGCTCATATATGCAGCACGACGCCTCAACATTTCTGCTGTCTGTTTAATTGTTAATATTAAAATGAAAATAGGCAGTTCCTTATATCATGTTTACATTTTATTGTTGAGAAAGTGAAACAACGGAGCCAGGGTGATGTGAATGAAGTTATAAAGTACACTGTTCCCTTTGAAGATTTACCCGTGTCCTCGGTATAGTCTGTTTTCCATATCAAACTGAAAAGAAAAGACTGCAGCCTTGATCAAACTTGCGAAGTCTGAACTTACACGGAGAAGATGCAGGACTGAACTGTGTGTGTTAGGCTACTTAATATTGAGGAAAAGCCCCAATCAGAGAGGCGAATGTCTGCAGCCCCGCCTCCGTTTTCAGATGTCTCCGTTTTCCATCATCCACACTGAGACGGAGCAGCAGCGTTTCAGAATGAAAACGGCCTCTCCAGCGTTTTCGAAACGCTCTGTTTTCGGCGCTCGAGAACTCCGGCGTAGTGTGGACGGATGGCGTAACCGTAGCAAAACTTATGCGTTTTCAAACTAAAACGCATTAGTGTAAACGGGGCCTTAGACTGAGGCCCCACAAAAGATTTCTCTTCGTGGTGTATTAATGATGCTAAGAATGGTCAAAAATCAGATCAGAACAACAGGGGATAAGCTGATCAATGCAGTGAGGAGATCTGGGACCAGCGTTTCCAAGGCTACCATCAGTAATACACTAAGACATCATGCATCGCAAAAAGAATTCCCTTGCTTAAGTCAGCCCATGTCAAGGCCCAACTGAAGATTGCGAGGGACCATCTGGATAATGAGTCATGGGAGATGAGACCAAATTAGAACTTTTTGGTCTTAATTCTATTCGTCATGTTTGGAATAAAAAGAATGATGAGTATCATCCCAATAATACCATACCTACAGTGAAGCATGGGGCTGGAAGCATCATGCTCTCGGGGTGTTTTTCTGCAAAGGGGACAGGACGACTGCACTGTATTAAGGAGAGGATGAATGGGGCCATGTATTGTGAGACATTGGGCAAAATGACAAAGGCTGCGTCCGAAACCGCCTACTACTCAGTAGGTACTGCATTTGAATTTAAACGTACTACTCGGCCGTTAGAAAAGTACGTTCTATACAGTATGAACGTGAAAAGTATGAATGGATTTCGGACGTACTACATCCACCATTTTGTCATGGTCACGTGACCTACCAGCATCAGTTGCGTCGCTGCACTTCCATTCATGAATTCTCTCGCGGGGCATTATGGGATAGCGCACCATGCATGGGATACGCAGTCCAGAATCTTGCCGGAAGTAGTAAGTCATCCGGGTACTTCTCGCATACTGATTTTCGAATTCTATGAATTCATATAAACTATATAAACTATAAACTATATAAACTCGGCTCGCATACTGATTTTAGCGTACTATATAGTATGGAAGTATGCGGTTTCAGACGCAGCCAATGACCCAAAGCAAACAGCCAGGAAAACCAAGAAGTGGCTCTGTAAGAAGTATATTAAGGTTTTGGAGTGGCCCAGCCAGTCTCTAGACCTCAATCCAATAGAATATTTTTAAAGGGAGCATAAACTCTATGTTGCTCAGTGACAGCCCCAAAACCTGGCAGATCTAGAGAAGATCTGTATGAAGGAATGGGTCAAAATCCCTCCTCCAGTGTGTGCAAACCTGGTGAAGAACTACAGGAAACCTTTGAGCTCTGTAATTGGCTATAAGGCTACTGTAACAAATATTTATAAAAAAAAAAAAAAGCTTGACTCAAGTGATCAAATACCTATTTGACAAAGTAATTAACAAATAAATTGTAAAAAAAAAAAAAAAATATATATATATATATATATACTTTTTTTTTTTTTCAGAATCTGTCTCTCACGGTGAAATTGCAATTCTGAAAATTCTAGACCCCTCCATAATTTCTAAGTAGGAGGTATTGAAAAATCACAGGGTGTTCAAATACTTATTGACCTCACTGTATATATATATGCAGGGTTAAACAATTAATTCAAGTTGTTTCAATACAAATTAATTAACTTAATAAATTTAAGCGGATTGAACATAAAACAATTAAGCTGTACTCCTCAAAAACCTCAAGAATTGCATTGTTTCAGCTCATTTTAAATGAGGAGTTTAAACAACCAACAAAATCCTTTTTGAGCATATTTAACTTGTAGATCATTTGATTTCATATTAGCACCTGAATTCACCAATGCAAAAGTTTTGCGTCATAAATGAATGCAAACAGTTTGAAACAAAAAAAAGTGTCAGTATATTTGATCAGCAAAGTGTACCTAAAAAAGTGGCTAGTAAATGTACTTTAGACACTCTGCCAAAAACACATTAAATAGCCTTTTTTGCTTGAATGTATTGTGTAATAAAACGACAGCTATAAATAAAGTCACAATAAGCTGACAAAGGTAGATCAGGTAGATAAACAAGTAACGTAATTTTAGCAAATAACTGTGGTAGGTCCAAATATCTAATAATGTCATTGTCACAACACTTTTCTTTTAAATGCAACTGCATCAAATTCTCATATTGTCTTATGATGTATGATTTGTCACGGCCACACATAGCAATCAGAATACATTAGATGATAAAGATATTTGAATGAATATATATTTTTACATACATCAAAACCACAAAACACATACAGTTTGGTACATAATTATTTTACATAATGTAAACCAATTATTGTCAAAAGAATAACCCCTAAATGTATCACAACACAAGACAGCAATATTCTGCTTTTGCATTGAGCTAATTTTACTAGTATAATACAATATTACTAATATAAAAAAACATAAAACAGCTGGAATATGCCAAAACTAATGAGAACATTCACTCACATTGATGCATCTTCATAGGCAACATTGGCTGATATTAGATGCAGGCAGTTTGGTGACACTTTTTGACACAAATTTACGAGCACAAAAGAAACTTAACTGTTATGATGTTTTATGCCATATAACTTGCTTAAAATGACTTAGTATTTTTGATCCATACATTAGTAAAGTGTATTATATTGTATTTATTAGAGTATGTACAACACCTTTTTAATGAATGCTTCAGCACACTTTAGTATTAACTTTAGTTATTAAACTTAAACATTGACTCAATTGAACCACTTTAAATCATAATATAAGCCAGAATTGTTAGTTAGTTAGTAAATAAATAAATTATTCTCCCATACGTTCACTTTTAGTAAAGTTTCTATGTAAAACTTTTATAAATGAGACTCCAGGATGTCTATTCGACTAGAATGAATAAGATGCAAGGCAGAGTATGCAAACACACACTTACCAGAGTCCAAACTGGCACACAAAGAGCTGTCAGATCCTCTACTCTGTCCATCTACTGCGAGAGTAGAAACTGAAAGAAACAAAACAGCATCTAAAATACAAGACCCTATGAGACTGAGTGTTTCATTCCAAGAATGAGCTTTAAAAGCTGAGCCTACCGGTATCAGATGATTCACCCAGCTGTTCATCCTCAAGTGAAACTAGACTGAAATAAAAACATACAAACATCAATTACACAAATAGACACACTCATGCATGAATAAATTGATGGGAGAAGATGATTCACATTACTATGACACGTGCAGTATCTAATTACTATTGCACCCTTAATTTAATTCTAAATCGGCAAACTGGAGTGAGTCAGAGCAATAGTCATAGGATGCGTATGCCGGTCTAAGAGTATCATACTACAGCATTTCTAACACAAATGCCACACGAAATAAACACTTGAAAACAAGCCAAAGCAGGAAATGACAGTGGAACCAAGTAGTGTTTCCTGTTTTTAATCTTTGGGTCCCATTTTATATTAGGTAGCCATATATATATTGAATATAAAAACAATTAAATATATGTACTTGCATTGAAATTATTCATTTGTTACTAACTACTTATTGTGTAAATACTTGTTTTTCCATTGTACATATGATTGATTAAATACCTGCATGTAATTACGTGTAATTAATTTCTGTAATTACGCTGTTGATCACCCGTATCCCACCTTAACAGCACCAGAAGTGTTCTGCAATACATTACAAACACAGTAAGTACATTGTCTTTATTGTGCGATACAAGTATGTAGTAGTTAAGGCCACCTAACATAAAGTGGGACCAATCTTTCTAACAGAATTACAATGCTCCACTCACAGATCAGTAACCAGAGCCTTCAAAGAGGCTTCTCGACTGGAGTGACTTGATCTGAGGTTTGCAGGCAATGAGGAAGGAAAGAAAATTAAACATCTGGCAATGACAGGCAAGCAGGAGACATTCAAGATGGAAAAGGTGTTTTGTTAATGAAAGAGAAATAATGAGTAAGGAAGAAAAGACTGCTTATTAGGTCTATATATACTACAGTTCAAAAGTGTGGGATCAGTAGAAAATACAGTAAAGCAATGATTATTTTAAAAAAGTATTGCAAAATATGATATTAAAATAACTGTTTTCTATGTATTATTTGTTAAATTGTAATTTACTACTGTGCTTCATTACTCCAGTCTCGATTGTCACGTGATCCTTCAGAAAACCATGTGATAATCATTACAATCAGGGCTTAAAAAATAAAAAAATAAAAAAATAAATCATTCGGTTCTCTCCGAGCAGAATTAATGTTGTTTTTGCTCTTGTGTTCCTTCATATAGTCGGTGTTACAAGGCTTTTTTATAGGAATAAAATCAATTTAATTTAGCTAGATGTTTGTCCATGAAATAGCCAGGTGCTTGGTAACCTTTAAGACAAGGTCAATGCATCAGAAACCACTCCCGCTTATGACGTCTGCTTCACGGACATATTACTTTGTATGCGTCACCGTCACATTTGTGCACACAATTTAAATTCATGTTTTTTGTCTCCCAAAATTAAAAAATAAAGAAAATGATGGAATAATGTTATTAACCAGTTAATTGTAATTGCAAATAAATGTTTCTGTTTGGAACGATTAAAATTGATTTTGTTTTCATTTTAATTTTTGTTCCTGATAAATGTCATTCGTTTCCATTTTCACTCCTTGAACCGGTTTGGAGCCATGATTTATTATTAGTTTTCAATAACTAATAATGGCTCTTATATTTTATCAGTCTTGAAAACATTAATTTATTTCTGCTTTACACTTTTGCTGATTTTTTTGCTTAATTTTTATGATTCTTTGATGAATAGAATGTTCAAAATATAAAATATATTTTACATGAAATAATTAGCATTTACTTTTTTACTACGTTGATTTCACATAAATCTGAATCAGGTATTTTTAAAACTAATATAATAATAAGAAGAAGAAGAAGAAGAAGAAGAAGAAGAAGAAGAAGAAGAAGAAGAAGAAGAAGAAGAAGAAGAAGAAGAAGAAGAAGAAGAAGAAGAAGAAGAAGAAGAAGAAGAAGAAGAAGAAGAATGTTTTCATAAAATAATTAGCATTTAATTTTGTTAGTTAAAAAAGTGTTAAAACAAAAACATGAACCAGGTATTATCAACACTGATAATAATAAGAAATATTTTCTGAAAATCAAATCAGCATTTTAGAATGATTTCTGAAGACTGGAGTAATGATGCAGAAAATTCAGCTTTAATCAAAGGGACACATTTAATTTAAATTATATTCACATAGAAATAATTATTTTATATACTTAAAATATCAAAACATTAAATCAATGAAGCCTTGGTGACCAAAAGAGACTTCTATCATAAACCGCAGTTAGAACAATAGTGCACGTGATCATATGATGTATAATGAACACGAAAAACATGTAAAGCATGGCTAGTTCATGACCTCCAAATGGTGGAACCATTTCCATGTCTAACTGAATTCTCACTTGTCTAGATGATTCTTCTTTTCTTCGTCTTTTTTGTCCTCTTCTGGCTGTGTGGATGCAATCTGGTCCAGCGGGTCTCTCAGTTCCTGCCATATAGATGAATGAGGGGTCAGATCACATTACAGCAGTTTACTGGCTGACATTTACAGTTGATGTCAGAATTTTTAGCCCTGCTGGATAACATTTTACTAGATATTTTTCAAGATATTCATCTTAAGAGTGCAATTTAAAGGCTTAACTAGGTTAATTAGGTTAGGTTGGGGTAATTAGGCAAATTATTGTATAATAATGATTTGTTCTGTAGACAATTGAAAAAAATAGTTAATAATAATTTTAATCTTAAAATGATTAAAAAAAATTAAAAACAGCTTTTATATTAGCCAAAATAAAACAAATAGGACTTTCTCCAGAAGAACAAATATTTTAGGAAATACTTTGAAAATGTCTTGCTCTATTAAACATCATTTGGAAAATATTTGATAAGGACAAAAACAATCACAGGAGGGTGAAAAATTGTCGTCAACTGTATATACTGACACTCACTTTAAGGGTAGTGAACTGGTAGGGTACATATCCTTTGAAGGCCTCATGGATGCCAGACATCACATGTGCAGTCTTCTCCCAGTACTGTAGGAGCGTCGTCTACACAACACCAACAACACCACAAAATGAAAACTAAAGTAAAAGCCAAGCCATTTAAGGTGAAAGGAAATAAGTGTTACCTGGTAAGTGCATAAGGAATGTGACAGCATGTTGCAGCGACTGGCTCCCAGCATGTCCACTTTCTGACAAACGTCATTCTTGAGCTTATCGAAACACACTTTTGTTTCTCTTACCTGAGCCTGAACCTGTTCACAAACACACAGATTGCAGAACACTTTCCCGTATGTTGATGCAAGTCATACCGTTGCTCATTTTGCACGATCTCACCATGCGAAATTTCTCCAGTTGTTTGTAAGTATCTGGGTCCAGCTCCTGTGAGGAGGCTTTCATCCAGAGCAGTGCAGCGCGGTATTCGGTTCGAGCTTTCTCCATCCGGCTCACTGTCAGGAGGCTGTCAGCAATGGCTCTTCTTCGAAATGTCTCCACTTCCTGTTCCAGTCGATGGAGGGGAGTACACAAAGCCAACCTAGGCGGTAAGAAGAGAACAGAGAAATTGTTTACATTAGATTAATCATTTTTTACATACTGATTGTTGAGTGAGTGAACTCAGGCGGGGTTTCAACAGTCTGTACAATCATTCAGAGAAAGATTTGCTTTAAGGCTTCCAATAAATGAATAATTTATTAGAAATGAAATATAAAACATTTAAAAAGCGAAAAGAAAGCCTGATGTAAAGCAAACGTTTATTTGGGAACAAAAGTAAATTAATAAATGCTGATTCGGTGCTTAAATAAACATCTGTTATTGTTGCTAATGTTTAAAAAAGGTTGTGCAAATAATAGATTATTGGCGACTGCAACAAAATTCAGGAGTTTGAACACTTTGTAATACTTTCAATACACCACAGGAGTGGATCAATTTAATCAAAATAATTCTATATAGCTAATTTATTACGATCATAATCTATTGACATTTGTGACGAAACAAGATCTCATTTTAGCATCAACATCAACAACTCAACAACACAGTCTGGTCAAATGTACTACTCTTTTGTTATGTTATGCTGAGTTCAGACTGCATAATTTTCAAAGTAGTCGTGTCACAGATGTGTTCACACTGCATGACTATCTGTGATAGCATTCCATCGCTGCTTTGTTTACACTGCAAGATGGATCGGCAACAGGGGGTTTCACACGGCATGACTTAAAATAAAATAAGAAGGATCGCCAACAACTTTGTCCCAACTAATCCAGAAATAAAGAAAAAAAAACGCAGTGCACACGTTTTTTTATAAAGTGATTGATGGTTTTATTACTAAATGTACAAATCTTTACAAAAAAAGCACTATTTTTCACAGTGTTAGATTAAAAGCCAGTGCAGAAATGATCGGAAGTGGACAAAAGGCTAAAGCATTTAAACGGCTCTCTTGTCTACCTGTGATCCAATTGAGCAAAAGATGTCCAATTTCTCTGTAAACAGGGCAGCATCAGTCATGGTAAATTCGCCGACTCTCTCTCTCACATCTGCATAGTCATCCTAGGCTTTCTCATAGTAATCTTCATAAACTAGCCCTCGTACGATGTGTGATGAGGAAAAATAAGACTACTCGCATCAAAAAGGCGCTCGTATTTTTGTGCAATAAGAAATATAGACTGCGCCACCAAACATATGAAAACGAAAGTAACGACCAAGGTTTAAAAAAATGTAAGGAGTAGAAAGTACAGATATTTGTGTAAAAATGTAAGAAGTAAAAGTAAAAAGTTGTCAAAAAATAAGTAGTACTGATACCAGAAAAATCTACATAAGTACAGTAACTAAGTATTTGTACTTCGTTACTTCCCATCTCTGGTTATTAACAACATTTCAAGAGTGCACACTTAGCTGATGATTGATTATAAAGCTTGTTTGGCATGCTGTCCTGGGAGAGAGCCCTGAGCTCATAAGATCCTCGAGCCTGGGGCTCCTTCCCGTTTGCATGGCGAGAGGAGAGTTTGAGCTCAGGTAGACCTCGAGAACTCCCCTGCTGTAGTAGCTAATGAACAGACAGTGATTGCTCTTAAGAGATAACTACTTACTAGGAGCATGTCTACGGTGCCGATTTGGATTAGTCAATTAACTGAAGTTGCAAGTTTTTGGACGATGGGAGGAAACCGGGGAAAATCTGATGTCAATCTGGCAACCTGTAATTGCATGTGTTTTGAACAAGGTGTGCAATACCTAGATCAACCACTGGGTGTCAAACTTACATAGTGCACCTTTACGCTGTGGAAGGGCATCAACAAGTTTGTTTATATATATATATATATATATACTATGAAGACTATAAAATGTTTTTAAATTTGATGTTTTTAAGTTTTCAATTTGTGTAGCCAAATACTGTTGGACTCTCAGAAAACATGGTTTATTTAATTTATATCTTTGCTCTACTGTATTTATCAATGCTTGTGCTTGATTATTTATGCGGATGTACTCTACAATATATACCCGATCAATTTTAAATGATGAGCTATTCATTCAGCTAGTAAAATCAGAAAAATAGAATAACAGAAATATAAAATACTGTAATGTCAGCATTTTTCCAATATTATGCAATCGTTTGAGCTATCTGCTTTGTTCTCTTAAAACCAATAAGGTCTGTAGCTTGATTGACTGTCTAATATGAAACATTCTCCTCACCCTGAACAAGCTATTTATCTGTTAGATCAGTGGTTCTCAAAGTGGGGGTCGGGACCCCCTGAGGGGTCGCGGGGCAATGAAGGGGGTTCGCCTGGTGATTTCAAAAAATCTATTTATTTTTATTAGACCATAAGAATTAACATATTTTATCCATAGCTATACTGAAAATAAAAATAGTCGTTTATAGTTACTATATAGTTACTATAGTAGCTTATAGTTACTAGTTCTATTGAATTGCGACCCCTTGGGTAATTACATTATATTAAAGGCAGCAATAGCGTCAGATGCATTTTGATTTTATAACATCAGGTTATACTTTCTGGCACATTTAAAGCACTGACACAAATTTAATTGGTGTGTCTGCGTCATTGCATGCAAGGTTTCTGTATTTATAACCACCTCAGAGGATATTGGGGATCGTGAGTCACTGGCATTGTTATTTTGGGGGTCACGGGCTGAAAAATTTGGGAACCCCTGTGTTAGATAACTAGTTGAGTAGCCAGACATCTTGACCCATCTCCTAATCCTGACATTTGCAAATAATAACTACCAAATCGAATCACAAGCATTGATTTTCAACCCTAACTTCTTCCTATTTGTGTGTGAGTGCTTGCCTTTGTTTGGCGGAGCAGCAGAGAGCTTTACTGGTTGCATCCATCATACTCCCTGCTTTTGTTTTATCATGCTCTGCCTGGAAGCGCAGAAACAGCCCGAGCTCGTTCTCCTCCTGAGAGAGATCTGAAGAAAGAAGGTCACCGCGGTTATTAACACACCAATAACATACAGCATTACAAACAGTGCTTCATTAGATGCCTTGAATGTTATCGACAAAAAAAGCCACAAAAACACATTGATAAAGTTGTGCTTGAAACTGCATCAGACTCTCACAACAGTAGCAGTATTCTTGAAAACTGTATGCAGTGGCTTTCAGAATGACCTGAACGAGACTCTTTGTGTTTGTGCATACAAAGAGGCCGGAAGATCATGTTTCTTACGTGTGATTCTTTGCTGGTATTTCTCAATCACTTTCAGGAGTTCTGTGCAAGTGCTCTGGACTGAACGGAAAAACTAGAGAAAAACAGAACAAACATTATCATTATTTATTTGCAAATGATAAATATAACAGAAGTTCTGAGTAGCAACAGAATATAAAATCTGCAATCCTTTCATTCTGTTCAGCATTGTGTATTGTACTCAGACAGAATATTTAGCCACCCACACTAGCGTCTCCAAAATAACCAGACAACACATTAAAATACAAAAGAAAAAAGCTATTCTGGTCTCGCTGTCATGGCAACAAAGGATGTTAAGTCCCTGACAGACCGAGAGAGCAGGAGAACATGTGCACTTGTGCTCTAAAATTACAAAAAATTATACAAATGACTCATTCTGCTGGAGTTTTCGGTGTTCTGGAGGGAGTTTCAAGAGCTTTCGAGGGGCCAAATATAGAAATGTTATATTAGCTGAAACCTGAACTCATGTTCTAAAACTTGGACTGATAGTTCACTGTGAACTGAGAATTCTGTCATTTAATCATCCTTCACTTGTTCTGTGAGTTTTTATTCTGTTAAAGACCAACCATTGACTTCCATAACATTTGTTTTTCCAACTAAAGATGTCAATAGTTGCAAGTTCTCAGATTTCTGTAAAATATCTTCTTTAGTGTTAGTATGGAACCACTTGAGGGCGAGTAAATAGTGAGTACATTTTCATTTTAGGGTGAACTATCCTTTTAGGAATAGTAGCAGATATATGTGTGTGGTTGAGTGTACTTGTTTGTATGGTTTACAAGGACACAAAACTGTATAATGACACAGGTATGGTGTTGGTATGACAATATTAAGGTGATTTATAAACCCATGCATTGTGTCCCTGTAATTCAAAATGTTTTTTAAAAATCATACTTAATGGGGTATGATACTGATAAAAAATATAATAAGTGGTTTTTACAGTACAAAATACATTATGCCTATGGGGAGTCCTCGTAAACCACATATACAAGTGTGTGTGTATACACATGTAAAATATATTATATATACACAACTTTGAAAACAATTAAGAAAATTATTTTAATAATGCATTGAAATTAAACAATTTTTGTTTTATTCTTTAAACTATGAATAAGATTTCTTCCAAATTTAAAATAAATTTTGCACAAGTAATCATGTTTATGTTTTCAGAGACATTTCTATTGAATTTTAGACAACACAATATTAATGATTTAACTTCAAATAACCCAGATTTTTTTTTTAAATCACAGCAAATGAAAACATTTGGTGTTATCATCAACTGTCGGTTTTTTGAGAAAAATAAAAGTTCTACAATTTTTTTTTTTGTAAAAATTTTGGATTAAAACGTTGTCCCCACACCCATACAAATTAAATAGAGTAAACTTAAAGAAATGGCCCTAATCTTAAAAAGCATTTTTAAAATCTTACCAACCACAAGCTTTAAAATACAAGTGTTCAAGTGGTCATTTAGCAAATGCTTTTATACAAATATTATATTACACTTACATGGCACAACACTAGCACCTTACAGTCTCCAACTACACACCTTGAGTAGACAATAACATTTGTACGGTTTCACACAACTAGCTATGATTTGATCATTGTACCTACTGTATATACAAAAGTCTGTAAATAAAGTCAGATTAAACCATACCCTAATCCTTAGACAAGAACGTCTATTAGTAAAGTCATTGTATACATTAGCAGCACAGTCATTTTTTGCATCATATTAAATTTGCTACCAACTCAGCCTAAGGTCTATGTGTGCAGATGAAGGCGTGACCTCTGCAGGTGAGGTCTGTGTATGGGACAGGTTACTCTTTAACTCTGAACACATACCTGACAAACGCACAGAGAGAACCACCTTAGAAATTGGGTTTGTACAAAAGGCTTTTTATAAAGAATCACTGTTACTGAATTACTAGTGCAAAATTCCAGACTTTCTGCACCAAAAGGAGCTTTTGAGGGTGAAAAGGCCAGAAGTCAATTTATATGATCATTACAGCAGCTGTGGCTCAAAGAAGAAACAACACAGATCCACCTGTTCATTAAACAAGCAGCCGGGGGGCTTTTCTGGCTGCTCTCTCTAACACTGGCACCACTAGAAAATCATCTAATGACCAGTTAACCAGGATATGCTTAAGCGTAACAGCCTGAGGCGGGGCAAGATTAGACGAGCACACAAACAAACACACTTCCTTGAAATGCAGTTACGGTTTTTATTAGGTCTTGATTCGTAGTATCAAGATCGATAAGTGAGCACTTTTCAAAAGCTAACTATTAATCAGCGTCAGCTAGTGCATAATCACTAGCATAAAAAAACTTCCATATTGAGTTTTAATTACATTAATGCATTTCAAGAATATATATAATATATATATATATATATATATATATATATATATATATATATATATATATATATATATATAGATATATATATATATGTGTGTGTGTGTGTGTGTGTGTGTGTGTGTGTGTGTGTGTGTGTGTGTGTGTGTGTGTGTGTGTGTGTGTGTGTGTGTGTGTGTGTGTGTGTGTGTGTGTGTGTGTGTGTGTGTGTGTGTGTGTGTATGTGTGTGTGTATCATAACTAATAACAAATATATATTTTTTTTTTTTTTATTATACAACAGTTCTGTCTGGTATTTGAAGCTGATTGGCTGATGGCCATGCAATATTCTGTTCTGCAATAACAGCACTCGTACAGCCTCCTCACTCTTCTATACATATCTAGAGATCTCTTTGTACATACATTGTACATATCGCAGTCAATTTTACATCGTGTCTTTTGTATGTTGTAGTGCTGTATTTATAACACAGTCTGGTGTTATAGTGTTTGTTTATCTTTGGATTTTTCGGGGTTATTGTGATGTCTTGACTGCAACAGAGAAATTTCTCTAGCATTTCATGCCGTTCAGCCTTATAATCTTAAAATATCAGCAAAACCACTTGTTATGTCATCACTTTAGACATTACGCTAGAGCAGGGGTGGCCAACCCTGTTACTGGAGAGCCACGTTCCTGCAGATTTAAGTTGCTACCCATATCAAACACACCTGAACCAATTAAATAGGACCTGAACACCACGTGATAATTACAGGCTGGTGTGTTTGATATGAGTTGCAACTGAAATCTGCAGGAAGGTGGCTCTCCAGGAACAGGGTTGGCCACCCCTGCTCTGAAGAATCATTCAAATACTAGTTCTAAAGTTTCTGCTGTTCTGATGTTAGCTGCAGATGTGAATAAATGGTGGAAGAAATACTTCCTTAAACAAAGGGGCTTTGAGACTGTCCGTGTTTGATTTACATTTTTGTGTGCACGATTACGCTATCTACCTGTGGTATAAATGCAGCCACTGGTGGGACATTAATATATCACACTGCTACTCATGTGATAGTCCTCATATTATTAGCAATATCACACAAGTAGCAGTGCGATATGACTGTATATATATATATATATATATATATATATATATATATATATATATATATATATATATATATATACTGGTTTCTATTAGAGTTGGGCTGTTAGGCGGTGGCCGATGGCTGATAGAAAACACGATGCTAAGCCGGAATCGCCCATCCTCTGCCCTGCTCCCGTCGAAAACCAGCTTGCGAAAAATACACACTTAGGCCCCGTTTACACTAATACTTAGTTTTAAAATGGCATTTTAGAACAAAAATGATCCACATCCTTGTTTTACCAAGCATTTCTGAACAGCCCTCTGACCGCTGAAAATGCACATCATGTGACCACACACACAGACACAGCCACACACACACACACACACACACACACACTCAAGTGCTCGTCTGAGCTCCACAGAGCAGTGCACGTTGGATAGTTTATCAAGGATGTACCATTGGATTGCGTCTCACTATAGTTGTTAAACGTGATATTTAATTCATCTTGTCTCTTTCTAACGACTCTTCTGTCTTTTGAATCTATCAGGTAATGTGTCACAGCTTCAGTCCACTGCATCAATCTTTCGCTTTCACACTTGTACTTAAGTCATTTTAGTGAAAACCTCGGAAACTGTTGGTTGTGCACCTTTTTTACCAACTTAATTTGTTGACGCTATTATAACGACACAGATCACTCTGCCTATTCAGGTTAGAGTCCTCCTGAAAAAGTGATTGACAGGTGATAATTTGTGTTTAACTTATCTTTATTTATTTCTGATTTGTTTATGGGTAAAACAAAGACCATGCAGGTCAGGTAGTTGATATGGTAGGCTACAAATAATCAGTTTGTTATGGATTAAATAATTATTCATAAATAATTAATTCACCTCTGCCTATAACGACGATGCCATTGTCCATTGCGATGTTTCACATTAGACATCGTACAATGCCAAATTGGTCGACATCGCCCAACCCTAGTTTATATACTGCATATCAAGTGGTTTCAAACCTTTATGAGATTCTGTGTGCTGACAAACACAAAAGATATTTAGAAGAAAGCTGAAAATCTATAACCATTGACTTCCATTGCAGGAAAAACAAATTGTAAAGTAGTCAAGGGTTACATATTTCCTTAAAAAAAAATATATATGTTTTGTGTTCAACAAAAAAATCTCAAAGGTTTAAAACAAATAATGAGTAAGTAAATAAAGACTATCCCTTTAAGGAAGAAGAAATGATGAGAGAATTTATTCTTCTTTTTAAAATAATTTTCATGAAAAGAGTAGAGGTGAATTTTGTATATTCCCAGCTTGTCTGGGTATCTACATTCTGCGTTCCAAATCCTATATGAAAATTTTTACACAAATTTTTATCTGGAAGTCAACTGTCTACTGATGATAATTTTAATCTACCATTCATGTTAATCTACTAACTGTAATATATGGTTTGTTTGTCACAAAATGGTAAATAATGTAATATCGGTGCTATAATTGGTGAGATCGCCTGCCAGTCAAAATCCCTGCAAAGGATCAACTTTATTGGATGAACTCCACCTTTAAAGCTATTGGAGAAATAGTAATTGTCTGTATTTTATCTGTTTCGCTCTGTTTAAAATCAAAGCACCACAATGAGTATTTCAATTAAAAGTGCTTTACAACATTTGCTCTTCTTTTACGGTGATTTAAACTTTTACACACATTTTAAATAATACCAGTGGTAATAATTTTTATTAATACAGTTAATCAATGGATTTCCCTTTTGGTATTAGATAAATATATTTTATCCTACAAAGTACTCAGTAATCCAGAGATTTGAAATTCAGATTCAGACCTTATAATATTTTGACATGTTTGACATGATGCATTTGATGTAGTGTGTTGTGGTTATTCATAACAAATAATAATAAAAAAAATAGTAATAAAATAATAATAATAATAATAATAATAATAATAATAATAATAATAATAATAATAATAATAATAATAATAAACAATGTGCACAAGAAGCTATAATACATCATTCATATCTCGTGTATTACTAGTGGATGACAACTTTGGCTGGTCAATTTTCAATTCATAAGAGACCATTACTCTTATCAACTCACATGATCCTTCAGAAAATCATTCTAATATGCTTCTTTCTTACTATCATCAATATTGAGAACAGTTGCTAACTACTATTTTGTAGAATGTTTTTCTGGATTCTTCAATGAATTGGATAAAAATCTTTTGAATCTTTTTTAATGAATAAAATTAAATCAATCAATCAATCAATCAATGAGTCAATCAATAAATAATTAATTAATTAATTAATAGATAAATTAATGAATGAGAGTGACGCAGTGGCACAGTAGGTAGTGCTGTCGCCTCGCAGCAAGAAGGTCGCTGGTTCGAGCCTCGGCTCAGTTGGCGTTTCTGTGTGGAGTTTACATGTTCTCCCTGCGTTCGCATGGGTTTTCTCCGGGTGCTCCGGTTTCCCCCACAGTCCAAAGACATGCGGTACAGGTGAATTGGGTAGGCTAAATTGTCCGTAGTGTATGAGTGTGTGTATGAGTGTGTGTGTGTGTGTGTGTGTGTGGGTGTGTGTGTGGGTGTGTGTGTGTGTGTGTGTGTGTGTGTGTGTGTGTGTGTGTGTGTGTGTGTGTGTGTGTGTGTGTGTGTGTGTGTGTGTGTGTGTGTATGCGTGTGTGGATGTTTCTCAGAGAAGGGTTGCGGCTGGAAGGGCATCCGCTAGTTAAAAACTTACTGGATAAGTTGGCGGTTCATTCCGCTGTGGAGACCCCAGATTAATAAAGGGACTAAGCCAACAAGAAAATGAAGGAATGAATGAATAAATGAACTGATCCCAAACTTAAATCCATTGATGGGTGAATGGATGTAGTGAGCCCAAAGATTTAAAAGAAAACTTGTTCTTAAAGGCACAAAACTGACTATACTAGGCTGTATGATTTTTTTTAAAATCATACCTACATTTGCCTTAGACTCCTCTACTTTAGACTGTTGTGATACAGACATAAAAAAAACAGAGAATGTATTGCTTGACTAACAGAATTGGAAAAGAAAAAGCAATCGTGTGTCTGAGAGAGAGACAGGGAATAACAGAAAGAGTGGGCCATTTGGACAGATATCTGTACACAGTGAAAACATCAAGCAGAGTTGATCAAAGTACAGCATCATCTACAGCTCAATTCATCTCCTCTGTTCCCTGTCACCATGTGACTTTCCTCCATTAACCTCCCTCTTTGCCACACTCACACACATCAATTGATTTAAAATAAAAAATAAAAATACAGCACGAGTCACAGCATCATAAAAAAACTCATACCTCTAATTTGGCATCAAGGTCTGCATCAGATGCCACCACATGCTCGTCTTCCTTCTTCCCAGTAGCCTTGATCAGAACCTGCTTGGTCTTCCAGAACTTCTTCTGCATTCGGGCTATGACTGAACTGTCCTCACCCAAAACTGATCTGCCGCTGAACATATCGCTGGAGAACCTAAAAGCATATCCAGTGCTCATCAGATAAATCTATGCTTAAAAAATAAGAAAAGCTGAACCATTTGTGGGACAAATTCAAGATACAAACCCATAGCTGTCCATCTTTCTGATGAGCAAGGCTTAGATCTGCAAATAGAATACAGTCATTGAATCATCCTGCTTTGAGTCATAATAACAGCACAAATGTTTCACAGTCTGGCGTCGGGTTTGTAACATTTTTTTTAAACAAATGACTATTTTTATTTTGGAAGAAAGCACATTAACACCTATAATTATGCATATGATGTATCAAATATTGTTGCAGCAATTATTAGCTTAAGCATTGATCACAATATAATGATATTGATCTAAGCTGCAAGCAGAAAGTTATTTTAACAGGTATAGCATCAAAGAAATATTATGTATTGCTTTTTTTTGTAAATACATGTTCAAAGTAAACAAGTGTTTCAACCAAATTAAATTGCAAAAGGATCATAAAGTACGACAGGTAACACCTTACAATAGCGTCTCATTAGTACATGTTATTTAACGGAATAAAAGCAACAGAGAGAAAAATCCAGACATTACTATGTTCATAATAGCTTAAAAATACAACTGAATTTGATTAGTTATTAACTACAAATAATAAATAGATTATGACTTGTAATCAGATCACAACAACAAAATTTCACATGTTATTATGCGTTGTAGTTTTTATCACGAGTTTAGTTAAATCAACTAGTGATAATCAATCAATATTTCAGCATGTAGTGAGTCAGATTAACATGTAAAAAATTAAGTCTCCAAGCAGTTGGTTTTGTTATGAACGCTATGGCAAACAATGTGAATATTATAAAATTAAACCCTAAAAAAAAACAAAAAAAAAACATATTGCTATGTTTTGAAATCAACACAATATCAATATTGTGCATGTTAATGATCACGATATATCAAATAATTTAATATTACCATGTCTGTCTAACTATGTTACAAAAGCTCAAATAAATGTGACAATTTTAATTCATCAAATATACAATTTTACAACAAAAAAGAAATAACATTTTTTTTAAAAATGGCAAACCCATTTTCACAAAGATTATGTGCCAGTGAACACAAGAAATGACTGATTAAAAAATGTATCTTTGCTATATATTAAAATACTGAATATTTTAATATAAATAAATTGTATTAATATTACCATTTTACTGACAAAATATGTAAAACATTTAGTGAATATATAAGGGTAGTTTTTTTTAAAGTCTATTTTATGAAAAACATATTAAAAGTACTTACTTTACAAAATCAGCGGTGGCATTCAGTAGACACTGATGAAATACATAAGACATAAAACCATCAACATATAAACAAACATATTACAAGTTAAAAGTCACTGGACAGTTAAAATTAATTATTTATAACCCCAAATTTTGAGGAATTTCCAATGTTTACAAATCGAATGTTTAATTTAGCGAAATGAATGGATGAACAGAGTAAATGAATTACTACTCTGCCCTTTGCAGACTGTTGTCTTTTTGTTCCTTCGAGGTAACAGCTGTTAGCTCTCACAATGACTCTCGCAGTCATAATTTCCCAAATTCAACAACTCATATCTCATACAGCTAAAAACAAAAGCATTTGACGTTTAACTCGAGTCATGAACACTAAAAAACAAACACCTGTTCTGATATTTAATCAACACACGAATACAGTTTTGAGCTATTTCAGTGTCTGTTTACACAATTAAATCACCAAATATTTTTTCACACAAAACAATACGTATTTGAGTGAAAGGGAGTATTTTAGGAGCTGACGCGGTTCTGGTCGCACCTTCCTCATCCTCTTCATCCAACTCATCACGGCTCTGGTTACAATATATCACATTTGCTTGTTTTTTTCCACGCGTTTTGCTTTTAAACTGCTACTTTGTGTAAAGTTAACAGGCTGAGCCACTTATTCACGGCGAGTGAAGGACTCTTTGCAAGGTCAGACGAATAAATATTGTAAAAAGACAGTTACCGGATCCCAAACAAGATAAGCAGGAGTCATCGAGCTCGCACTGCGTTTCCCTATAATAATAACCCTGCTAACTTAAAACGCCAACGTGACATGGCGACTTCGGTCTGCAGTTTTTGTCTGATACTGCTGGAGTGCCTACATTTTATAATTCGCAGTCATCGGATATAAGTGTATACATTTTAAGCAATTGTTATTAGGACATCGCATTTCCTTACCCGCTGACGTTGCCGTGAGCAGCGATGGGAACGTTCACGCACGTCATTCCCGTGAGCTGTGAGACAGCGCATGCGCAAAAGCACCTAAACACAAGCTGCTCAATGGTTTGATGAAAATGTTATTTATGAAAGGACCTTTATGGGAGTTACTAAGGTCTATGAAGCTCAGACTGGTGTGTTTGCTGGCTTTACAGGTAGTTTCAGGGTTTTTTCTCAAAAAGTGGACTTTTTTGCAGTTATACACCTAATTTTCTATTTAATTATAAGATTTAAATACTGGATTTTAGTATTTTAAGCACTATTTTAGCTGGATTAGCTTGTCGGATGACCATCATAACCACACTTTTTGATGTACCAAAAATATTTCCTAAAATGTAGAATAAAGAAATTTGAAAAACATCATATATTAGTAGAAAAAAGTTGTTAATTAAAAATTGAGGCTCATTGTACCTTATTAGGCAAATAACAAGCTGGCCAGCACATTTAATTTTCTTAAGCCAGAATTTGGCCGTTTAAATTATAATAAATTAAAACATAATATTAATAATAATCTAGAGCTTCACAGTTTTTCTAGCTTCTCTTGAAAAAAATACATTTGAAAATTCATGGATAACAATAGGCAAGAAAGTATTCAAATTGATTTTAATATAGGCCACTTTTGATGCTTCACAGACTTTTTATAGGTCATTTTTTATTTCAAGAATAAAATACATTTTATATATTTAGAATAAAAAATTGAATATTTAGTTACTTGTAAAATGCTTTCTCTATTTAAAAAAAACCTATGCAGTAGCAAAAGACACCTTCTATTACATCAGATTGTGTAATACTGGTGTCTTGGCATTGTTCTGGGCTCTCTAATTCCCCGGGGCCCTAAGTAGCTGCTTACCTCGCTTATTGGTTAATTATTTTATTATACATTTAACAACACATTCATTCATTCATTCATTTTTTTTCGGCTTAGTCCCTTTATTAATCCAGGGTCGCCACAGCGGAATGAACCGCCAACTTATCCAGCATCTTTTTACACAGCGCATACCGTTTCAGATGAAACCCATCTCTGGGAAATCAACAACAAAACATTCATTCATTTTTTATGTGACCTAATTAAATGTTTTAATCATCATTGTTTAATAAAAAATTATACTTCAGAGTCAGGGCTGAGGAACATTATTCACTAGATTTAGACATGTTCTTTTTGTTTTAATTGAATTTGATTTTATTTTAATGTATTTTATTTTGTTTCATTTATTTTTTTAATTTTATTAATATTTTATTATACAGAATGAATATTTTATTAATTGATTTATTTTTATTTTGTATGATTTATTTTATTATTGCTTTCCATTTATTTTCATTTATTTTATTTTAGATTTTGTAGAATTAAGATAATTGGTTTATCTTTGAGTGTCTCTTTATGACTGTATTGTATTTTTATTTTTATTATTATTATTATTATTATTATTATTATTATTATTATTATTATTATTATTACTATTATTATTATTCTCGTTATTATTGTTGTTGTTGTTATTATTATTATTATTATTATTATTAATCTTGTTATTATTATTCCTATTATTCTTATTATTATTATTATTACTATTACTATTATTATTAATCTTGTTATTATTATTCCTATTATTCTTCTTCTTCTTCTTCTTCTTCTTCTTCTTCTTATTATTATTATTATTATTATTATTATTATTATTATTATTATTATTATTAGTCTTCGTTTGCTTTTGTTTTTCTTAATTTTTGTTAATTTAGAGTAGTTGCCATTTATACCCAGAGGATGGCGCCGTTGATACAGTGATGTAGACGGAAGACAGTGAGCACTGACTAGAGGGCACACATGAAACAGAAACAAGATGCAACGTGTGCCGTAACAATACAAAGAGAATAACATTTTAATAATTTAAAAGTTTTCATTTTATTGCCATGCACTATACATACAACAGTATACAATGTGTGCTATGGCAATAAAAAGAGAATAAGGTTTTGACATAATTAATTAAAAAGGTTAAAAAATATATGGTAATGCCCTGTACATACAACAATGCATGCTGCGACAAGATAATAATAATGATAATAATAATAATAATAATAATAATAATAATAATAATAATAATAATAATAATAATAATAATAATAATAGAAAAGACAGAATAAAACTAAGCTCTTTTATAAATGTATAAAAAGGTAAATCTCAGATTGTGATGGCCCATATTGTGTACTGCATGCCAAAAACATCACTCCTCTTGTTACATAACATGATTCCAAAATAACTCACTCTACACATCTGAGATATACAATCTGAGACACAAGCTGGTAAAAGAAAATCAGGAAGCTGCGGTTTTGTTGGTACACTCATTCTCACACTTTCAGAGTAGAAAAAAAGGCTGATACAGCGACACTTACAAAATCCTGTCTTCTTCTCACACGTATACAGAAAGACACACACCCAGACACAGACGGGCACATGCCAACACCACACCCAGCTCAAACACACATCCTTCACCTCAAGACCCTCGTCTTCACAGATGCAGCATGAAACAACTAAACGCAGACAAAGAAAAAAAAAAGATAAGATAGATGTAGTCTGAGATGTGCAGATAAAGATCAAGAAGACTTTTGAAAGTTTTTAAAGAATTATTCTGCTCACCAGTGCCACATTTGTTGGATTAAAAATATAGTAAAAGCTGCAAAATTGGCTAATATTATTACAATTGAAGTAACTGTTTGACAAATAATGAAATACTGGAACTGCTTTCTTTTGAATGTACTCAGGGCCGGATTTAACCAATAAGCGAGGTAAGCAGCTGATTAGGGCCACAGGAAAATCTGGGAAATCTGGGGGCCCCAATAAATATCTAGAAGTATAAATTATACCTATAAACTAATTTGTCAAACAAATTAAATTTTCAACATAATCAAATATTGTTTAGTATACAATCAAAAAAAAATATTATTATAATAACATAATGTTATAGAATAATAATAATATTACCAAATAAATAATTCATCATTGATCATTAGTCCGGCAGTCAAATATATATATAATTTTTTTTATTATTATTTTTAGTTGAAAATTCATTTTAAGATTTATATTTAATATGTAGAGATTGCATTAATTTAAAATGTCGAAAAGATGACTTAGTGATATACACAAACAACAATTTAAATAAAAATGTAATCAATGTAGAAAGGTTGTATTTCAGGCCATATATGGGTGGAATTGCTTAGGGCCCTAAAATCACAAAATCCGTCCCTGAATGTAGTCTGCAGTTTCTATCATTTCTGGGATTTAAAACTGAATTTTCTGGGTAATTCCTCTAGTTTTCAGTGTCATATGATGCTTGTGAAATTGATAAAATGTTTTATTAGGATCGGTTATTATTGGAATTCAATCAATATTGATGGTTCTTTTAATAATTAACCTTTTTATCCTACTTAGTAGGTTTGTGAAAACTGATGTGTTTTCCTTTTTAGGATTCTTTGAAATATTAATAAATATTAGTAATAAACAGTTGAAGTCAGAATTATTAGCCCCTTTGAATTTTTTTCTTTTTTAAATATTTCCCAAATGATGCTTAGCAGAGCAAGGAAATTTTCACAGTATGTCTTAAAATATTTTTTTTTCTGGAGATAGTTTTAAAAGCCATTTTAAGGTCAAAATTAAGCTATATTTGTTTTTGCGATAATCTACAGAACAAACTATCCTCCAGCTGCAACCAGGAACTGGGAAACATTCATACACACTCATTCACACACATTGGAGTAACAATGCTGAAATATCGACTATAAATCAGATGAATAAGCAACAATATACAACAAACTGTGCAAAAGGCCTCTATTACATTTGTTGTTTCAGTGATGGTATACTGGTTTGGTCGTAAATATTTATTCTCATTCTCCCTATTAGAACATAACCAGACCTTTTTTTCTGGATTAGTTTTTGTATGGAGTAAGTCTAAAACATGAAAACATAAAGCCACATGAAGGCATATGAACGATAGAAGATTGAGTTTTGGTCTTCAGTGAAACTTGCTGGATTTTGCTAGTTTTTAGCTTTGCTTCTGCCAGTGGTGTTGGCAGTATTGTCTGAATTGATGATGGGAATGTGAATACTGAAAAGTAGTCGGTATGACGTGTAGTTACATTTTTTGAGAGGTGTGTGTCTGCGTGCCGACGGCTATGCGTCCACTCGTAGGCTGCACCATAGCATACACATGCACTTGACACAGAATCATAAACAGCCGAAGGAAAATGAATGACTGACTAAAAACTGTTGAGCTGCTTCAAATGTTTGTGTAAACATGCGACCCAACCAAAAATACCATTAAAAATGTATTTACTTAAATTCACAACGGACAAATTTAGTTGTTCGAGAGTGAAAGTATGATTTTATTTATGATTTTATAAAGGTTGCTTTAATATACTTAAATAAAAAAAAACAGCTGATGAAACACACACAGTCATGAAATGGCCTCCTCAGAGTCCAGACCTAAATATTGTAAAGGCAGATTGGGACCACTTTTAATTACACTTTTTATTGCTTGCTAAAAGTAAATTAGTTTTGTTCATTGTTTTTTTTTTTGTACATTTTTTCTGTATTTTCTGTTTGTAAATTATAAAAGAGATTTAAAATTAAACACAAATTTAACAATTAAACAAGTATATACTATACTCTGCAAAAGTCTAGGCCACTAAACTTGACTTTTGCACTGTACTGTAGATTCAATAAGCATACAGCTATTTTAAATTGTAACAACATTTCCCAGTTCAATTAAATAAACAAATAAATGCAGAATTTGTGAGCAGAATAACCATTTAGAAACTTTAAAAAGTCCTACTGATCATAAAATAAAGATTTTATGCATTATTAAACAAGCTCAGAAACACCTGGACAGCAGACAAACATCTGTTGACTGCAGACTGCTGGACCCTCGAGACACAATGACGGTTGAAACGCTATAAA